GAGTATCTCCGAATGCTCCAGTTACGTCTATCTAGGTCGGGAAATAAACGTGATGAACTTCTTAGCCCCCGAGTTGAGCAGAAGGAAGCGAGCGGCTTGGGGAGCGTTCAAGAGCATTGAGGATGTAATGAAGAAAACAAAGAACACCCGACTTCGTGCCCACCTTCTCGACTCAATGGTACTTCCTGCCTTAACGTATGCGTCAGAAACTTGGTCGCTGCGTAAGCACGATGCTTGGAGTATTCCGTGTCACACAAGTATGGGAAGAGATTCGAAGCTCCGACTTACGTCAACGACCAAATATCAAGGATGCCGTTTTGTGCGCCATACAGTCGAAGATAAGATGTGCCGTACACGTAATTTGTATGAACGACAACCGATGGACAACAGTGGCTGGATTCCTCGAGATGTCAAACGCACCGCAGAAAGAACACCGACTCGATGGTCAGACTTTTTCAGGAAGAACATAGAAGAAAGGTATGATGCTTAAAGTTTTCCTAGAGCGAACAAAACCCACTGAGCTACTCTCTTACACGTCAAAGAGGAATAGGAGATCTACTGGTGCCCGCTCGAGTCACTTCACTATCTAAGCGACGACAGATGATACAGGTGTAGGTTTGAACTAGGACCCTGTCCATTGTTAGCAGCAGTCCGTATATACTACTGGCTTGGTGAATCGTTAAGCTAAATCTCGGTGAAGCTTTCGATGGCTAACATTGCTTTCTAGTGGTTACCATATCGAGATCAAACTATGGTAGCGTTCTAAATCGAGAAATCTACCTAGTATGAATTCCGTAGTGGCTTAACGGCTCAACGAACTAAGAGTGCGTGTCTGTGTGAGTCGTTGCTTTTAGAAAACATTTCTTTTCCCATAAAAAAGTTTCCGCAGCAAATTGTTACTGCAAACAAGAACAGGTTATGGCATGTCACATTACTAAATATTATGCAACCACTTAAGATGACTCAACATCACTTGAGCATGGAGGAAAAGTACTGTTGAGGCTGTCCATATTGTTGACTTAACCATCATAGATTCTCATTCCCGTATGTAGTACGGACTTGACTACTCAGTACTGCTTGCACTCGTTTCGTCGCTTTGAACATGTCGTCGAAAGAGTACCTAGAAAGTAGTCTGATTTGCATATGGGTTCGACTACGGCACTGTGGGCATGTTCTGCTCTGTCCTTATTGTCATAAATACTAGGTGAGCATGGTTATCTCTAAGACCTTATGTTAGCGGTGATAAATTGGTCCAGGTATACACTATGGGTTACGCGGTCCTAAATGCACCGCCCTAATTAAACTCCGTCCCAATGGTTCGGAGCTCTGTTTAGTGCATGGTGACTCGGACCACTCTAGTATAGTAGCGTTTCAGCGGTAAGTCTTTAGTGTTAGTATAACGACAAGATTTTATAGAGTATCTGTCGTAGGTGCTAATGAATAAAAGCTTAATAAAAACCCGTGTGCAACCCGTACATAAAAACATAGCGAAAATTGGACTCTGACGCTGACATTCAGCTGCCCTTCAATAGCAGCGTTTACAATAACTAATTATGTCGAAGTGTACCAATTAAAAATATAATGAATATTGTTATAGGCCTCTGAAATAGATCTTGATCATATATTCGCGATACGTATCACACTGTTTCACGTACTCATCAATAAGGAAAACTTACGTGAGGATAAAATAAACACTTGAAATTTCTAAGCTTCCAGCTTGTAGGGAAACTAGTCCAGCAATGACCGAGTTTCGAATACCGTAATTTCCTACTTATCCACATAAAACGGATGGACGGTACACGATATGGAACAGGTATAACGGGATGGTCTTAGGTGCCCTGCAATGCACAGCGGTCGTTGGTTCGGTCCCGTCTGAGTAAGCTTACCCTAACAGATCTTCTCAATCAGCAAATCGGAACCACACTCTCCTGTGAGAATTCAAATACTGATTTGATACTCTGAAAGTCTAACGGATTGGCAAAAATGTATCCAGTCATTTTCACAAAAGAGTCGAAGGGGAAGTGGGCACATAAACACTATGCGCTCTTATCCAACGTCCGCTATCCAAACAGTGGAGTTTCACTGATTGTTAACATCTTTTCAATATCTTGAAAAGTAAAAATTTATTCCAAACAAGGACAAAGTACCCGCACTTCACCACAAAATTCTGATGATTGATAAGGACTTAGAATAGCGCTAGAATTTGGTTAGTACAATATGACAATTTACACATGGCTACCCCTACTCATCTAACCACACCTCTTAAGAAAGAAGATCCAAAGGCAGGATTTCTAATAGAAACTGTATACAGTCAAATAGAAAAAAACTACCGGTCTAAAAATGTAATTGAAGTTCTCATGTTTGCAAAAATTTTATCCAACTTGATTATTTAGAAACAGAGGTTGTGAAAGTTTTCCAGCATTTGGATCTTTTTCTATTCAGTCCTATCGAATTACTCATATATTACTATAGCCTCGGCTTAACTGAGTTTAATGCCGGTGTGGGCTCCCCAGGTCAACCCCATTGACAAGTGATTGCTGATGCCACTTATCGACAGAACTAGCTGAAAGGCAGGCGAAACGAAGGACCCGCGTGGTGTGGTGATGTGGGCGTTAGGCCGCGAAAAGGGTAATAGCGCGTTCCCCACCACCTGGGCCCACAGTTTTGTAAATATCTCAGTATCGTTATTGTTGTATTTCGCATAATACCCTGCCGTGAAAGTTGAAGTAAGCAAAAAATAAAAAGTATGCATTACTACTGTTAGCCGTTATCACAATGCGATCTGATGACGATGATCATTACGTGTTAAGGAAGGAAAAGAAGGAAAAGCGTAGTCTACTGGAGAGTACAAGACTTTTAGAACTTGGAAAAAAAATTCCAGAAAAGGAAGTTTCTGAAATAAGGTCGTCTAGGATCTACTCTTTAGTTGTTTGGCAGACGTATCCATTACGGTCGATACGTAATCGTAATTCCTCAACAGTTCCACTCGATGTGATGCCATTCAAAGAAGAAAGTGTTGATGACGTTGCTGAAAACTCAAGGATCATGGATTTTATTCGAATTCTTCTTCTTCATTAATTTTTGATCCCCATTAGGCCAATTCGCGCTGGAATCGAAATACCTCGAAGTATGGCGTTTTTGTGATAGAGTGATTCAAAGTCTCAAAGCGATCTTCAACCAGTTAATGTTCAAAGAGAAACTTTTCATAAGTTAATCCCACATAAATCAAGCAACATTACAAATTTCCAAAGGCTAATTTCGACCGTTTTTTGTCCACGGTTCTTTAAAATTCAATATATTTTTTCCTTAAATAATCGGAAGTATTCAAATTCGGTCTCACCAATCTTCCTCATTGATATATTGGCCACTTGCTCCCACTTTGTCTTCAGATGTGATGCAGTACCAGGTGAATCGTTTTGAACCAACGAGCCAACATGTGGTTCAAGGATGGGTACAATCTAGATTTCGGATTACAATAAATACTAGTAGAACCTTAAGAATAGGAAAATTTTCAATAACAAAAATATTTGCAATTCTGATGAAAAAGGAGCTCTATCTAAAGGAATCTGCTATGCCAACCGAAGTTGCACTGAGGAAATCTACATTCATTACTACATTACTTTTGAAGAGCAAATAGCACATTGGTAAAGCTATGATCTGAACCCGCTCCGGGCCCGCCAGTCCTCTCATCCCTCCGGGTCCAAAAATTGATAACAAGTATGGGACAAGTTCGTTCCCACTAATCTACATTTGAAGGCTTTAGCACGATTACCTCAGTACTGGTGGGGAAACCGATACAACCAGAATTCAACAACATTCGTGACTAATACGAAAATGTTCGTCCTTAAGCAGTAGACGGATTCTTGCTCGAAAAAGATTCGAAAGTTTTCGTGGACGGTGAAAGCTAGGTACTGAATAGAATGCAAGAAGTGCTAGAATCTCAATACAGGGTGATATGATACATGTGGTGTCGGTCAATGTAGTTATTTATTTACTTGTTTATTTATTTATTCATTTATTCAACCCGTCTTCACGTCTACTGCGCGGATCCCATCACTTCTCACAATGGTTTCGCTTCCTCGCATCCATTGTCCACGAAGATCTTCCAACTTTTACGTGTGACTTCGATTGCTGCTTGAGGATTTTCATTTCATCTTGAATATCGCAGAATACTGGTCGAGCAATTCTCCCTGGAGTCCTGACATAGCTGGGCCGGAGAGTTCCCAGTTGGAATGCGGAGAGTGATTTTTCTCCGCGCAAGTCCGGTACCAATTTTCCGACCCCGGGGGGATGAGAGGCTTGGTTGGACCATAACGGAACTGAATTAGCACCGTGCTCGTGATGATCGACATCACAACCACTGTAATTAACAACAATAATAATAATAGTAATAATAATGACGGTACTAATAATAATAACAAGATACTGGGTTTTAACTGAACCAGACGGATGAAAAGAACTGTAGAGTGGACTCCACGAGAATGCAAACGTCCCCTAGGACGGCCACTTACACATTGGGCGGACGTGTTCGTAAAAAATGTTAACCAGCTGTACCCGCATCTGAAGTTATTTTACAGCTCACGATATCAGACTCGTAAGCGCTACCATGCTCGAACAAAACTACCACCATGGACCACAATAGCGAGAGAAAAAAAACGAACGGCAAGTGTGCTGGGGTTCGCACAACTCGTGAGGATGGACCATCAAGGTATCCAAGTAAGCAATGGTGATGGAAACATGACTTTGAAGGCAATGCACATGACGGTTCATTTGGTTACTATTTGAAGAGTGCGTAATCACAATGGGATCTTGTTATTGCGGATTGTACAAAGTGGCATTCTGTGTGAGAAATATGTAGGAAATAAACCATATAATATCGCTAGCCTAAAATGGTTTTGAAAAAGAAATCTCCATTTCTCATACATCTAATCCCTAAGTAGGTGAGAAGAAGATTCCGTTGGATTTTCTAAACGTCTTTTTCAAAAGTTGTCTCATAATGCTCAGACCTGTGAAAAATCTGGCCTTGAAGCTGGTTCGTGGTGCCATGCTATTGGAAGAAGAGTAAGAACAGCAGCTGGGAACTGAGCTGTTGGCTGCTCCGGAAGAGGGGGGCGGGCTATAAAAAGTAGATTGTTATTACTATTCTATAAAAGATTGTATGGGAAGTAATCAGTATATCTAACTTTGCAACTTGGAAATAAAGACATAAGAGGGAAATATCTAGCTAAAGCTGTAAATAGACGGAGATAATTAAGGATAAGTAGCCCACAAAAAAGTACGAGATGGTATCTCAGCAAACCAAATCATGAACGTTCTTGGAAGCAATTAATAGAAGCTTTTCCTCTCCTACAGTTCTCCTATTAGTGACAAAGCACTGGATACGACTGGCCTTCTTAACATCAACTTTTCATGTAATAACCATGGTATTCACCCTAACAGCTTATCACCTTAACACCTTAACATGGTGGAAGGTCCCCGAGTAAAGAACTATTTAGTGAGTGGTTCATCACCATGGTAAGGTCGTCCAAGCAAAGGTGTTCGACGTTTCCACGTGAGAACTTGGGAAAAAAGAGATCCATGCTAGGAGTGGATTTATTGGGAAAAACCCAAGCCATTTTCTGACCAGGTGAGTGGTGTTCTTTGAATGCTTTCGCACAACTACTTCGGTAGTTCAAGGAAAAACTCAACGGCCATCATATCATTAAATGGAAATTTTGTCAAGGGACGACCCATGAAGGCTGGCCGCTCAAGCACCCAAGTGAACAAGATTATGACGTTGTTGAACAGAAAGCCAAATGACCTGAGGTACTATTTAATATGAATACATTAGAAAACGATCCCCTCAAAATCTAGTACGAACCTATATAACTCCCTGTGACAGACACCAGTTAAGAAAGAAAACTCCAAAAGGAAAGTCGTCCGTACCATCTTAGACCAATATCTTATTTAAATTCAACTTTTGCACTATTAAATAGAGACATTTCGTCCCTTAGGGAGTTTAAATATGATATACAGCACCGTATGTAAGGTTGTCCGAGTACGGTTTACAGCCAAAAAAGCGGTGACTGGTACTAATGAGTGTCAAAATGCAATATACAATATGAGAATTCATTTTCATGTCAAGGTCATTTGAGCTGACTACTTCGACATTCAAGTCCGAGTTTTCCGAGCCCGCATTCGCCCTTCTTTCACATTTTATTCGTCTTCTTTAACGCTTTAACACATTAAGTCTGAGTCCCCAGTTCTTTAAGGCCGTCTCGATCATTATATTTCTTACCTTTTTTCCTTTTACTTTGATGCCTGCTTAGCAAACGCCTTGCTTTGATGCTTGCCTAGCATCATGTTCCGAAACAGCAAACATTATTTTGAGGAACAAAAGAAAACGATTGGAAATACAAGGAAACCTCGTTTGTAGGCCATCTCGGCTGCTGCAGCTGCCGGCTTCAGGTGGGAAAATGGCAGCTCGGCTGAATGAATCTCCCATATGACCAGAGCAAAGCTAGAAAAACTACGGACTACGGAAACTACGGATTTCTAAATCTCGTTTAAAAATATGGCACATTAAAAAATAAACTTCTAGATGAAACACTAAGGCTGCCGAACTTTGTCAAAATAACACAAGAATATTCACCTGAAAACGTCTACACGATGATCATAACGCCCAGTCTGTGAAAACACCTCAGGTGCCATCCATCGAAGATTCTGTGTAATTACAGGGGTGATTAAGCTTAAGATTATCGCATACGTTGTAAGGAAAAGAACCACTTGGATAAAAATAATACATGTAAATGCCGTGTTAGAGAAACAATCGGTAATAAAACTTGAAGCTGCAAATCTCAGCAATGACTCCATCCTTCAAAAAATTTGAAATTCTCTCCCCACCCATTTTTTTATCCCAACCATGTTAAGAAGTGCTTGAATATATTTCTTCTATTTGGAAATAAATTTAATCACTATTTTAAAAGGCTTGAAATTATGCGGCAGACATGCAACAATCAGCATCATCAGTACAGCTATCAAGCACTGTTGCTTCACCAGCACCCAAATATACATAAGTGCCTTTTACATATACTATAATGCTACGGAAGAAAGACTCACTCCTGGTTGTTTTGTCATGTTCTCATCTTCGGTTTGACACATGAAGCGACTCTCACCAAAATCAGCAACGACCGCTCGACCATCGATGTGTATAAGGATATTGTGGCTATTAAGGTCCCTGAAATGGTTCCATAGCTTTTCATAAACATCATATTATATGTTGGCGCTCATTCTGTCTTGTTATAAGATATCTCGATGGGTAATCATGCACTCTAACTGTGGTAGAAAGGTATAACGAGAACTAGGACTAGAAAATTGCAAGTGAAATGGTAAAGTACAAAGCTCTTAATTAAGCCTGCATTCGACTTTATTAACCAACGTAAGAGGTGAATGAATGCATATCTTGCCTTTACAATGACTCGCAGTGGCCCACCAATGTATCGATCCAGTGCTGGTATCCTCTCGGACAAGTATGGTACCAATTTGCTTACCCCGGAGGAATGGAAAGCTTGGTTAGCCTTGGGCGCAGGGATCGACCCCATGTGTATGGCAAGGCGTCTCCGACCACTGCGCTACCCGCGCTCTATGAAATAGTAATGACGATGTAGTAAACACCAAATTCCAACATTCCCCAACACTTCAAATGAATTAGGGCAGAAATGTGACAAATATCGATTTGGAAACATTAGAACCTTAAAAAAAAACCTAAAACGCCTTGCAATGGTTGGGGGATGGTAATCTGTGTGTTTTCGGTGTGCAAAAAGGGTCACTCATGCTGATTAGGAATTTGGCGTTTCCATCCAAACGGCCAGCTGACGATGAAGTCATGTCAGGAATCCCACCACTGTGGAGAAAAACTAGATGCAAGGTGGCACATCTCGCTGAGATTTAACAACAGCACGCTGGTGACAATTGGAATGCTTACCGCAGATTTCCTTCGAATTCGAAGGAATCATGTTGCCAAATCAGGAAAATACCTGTGGAAGAGAGAGTCAAATGAATGAAATATAAGCAAAAAGGCAAAAAAGTGAAATCTTGTCCTGATGGGCAGAATAATGCGAATGTTTGAAACAAAAGTATAACGTTCAAGCCGTTAAGAAAATATACGAATATACAGAGACAAGGCGGAAGAAAATGTTATGTTTTTGTTCAATTTGTGCACTCTTTGTAAATTGAAAGGAATTTCAAAACGAGCTTAAAATGACCTTCGTGTAATACCACGTCAATCATATGGAATTTCAGTAAGCACAAAGTGACTTGGGCCTGTTCTTTTTCGTCATAGTCTGCTGTTGCTTCACTAACCAGGAAGATGGTCAAAGTATTGCATCAGTATAATTTCTATTCACGTTTGTGGTACGGCAGAGGTGTTGAGACTACTCAACTTGAGGCACCCAGCGCTTCACAGTCGTGCAATATTGTTATATGAAGAACTTTCAAGAATGTTCCACGATTCTCTCTAAGCTCTCTCGTAGAAATGATCTAATGATGTCTGATGAAGACGAAGACGTCGAAATGTTAGCCGGATAAAGATCGTTACCAATCTCGTGGAAGCTAAACAATATAAACGCAATGATCTTACCACAACATTGCTGAGATACTTGCAAAACTTCGGACCGCATGCGTATGCGGTGGGGAACGAACGCGCTATTACCCTTTCCGTGGCTAACGCGTTCACCACCACACCATGCGGGTCCTTCATTTCGTCTGTCTTTCAGCTAGTTCTATCGATCTTTTGCCACCAGCAATCACCCGTCAACGGGATTCATCGGGGAGCCCACATCGGCATTGAACGCTATTAAGCTGAGGCTGTAGTTGAAATCACAATGTTTACTTTTTATTCTCTGCCTACCATAAATTTTACGGCAGGGTAATAAGCGATTGGATAGAAATGTCGAACTCGTTGGATGACCATGCTGCGTAGTGAAACCAGTTTTAGTTTTATAGCGAGAAACACACCTCAGTCACGAAGACTATATAAACTATTGGGTTGTGAGCAATGTGTAATAAAGGAAGAGACAGGTTAGCTCTGGGTCCTACACATGCACTCTTATGCTAGCTAAATACGTAGTGATGCATGGTAGACACCTCAATATTGGCTGTTCATTCTGATGCGTACATTATTGGTTTCTCTGATATGCTACGACTAACTTTAGATCAACAGTTATCTTCAAAAAATGTAATATACCAAATTTCTACCCCATTCCATGAACTCACCGATGGATAACTGGCATGACAGCACTCTCGTGAAGATAACGCATACCTTGCGCAATATCGAACGATATTTTTAGACGAAAAGAAGAATCCAGAACACTAACATAGAATGAAAACAATTCACTGGCATTATAGTCCGTAGGAAAAAAGAAGCTAAAAACAAACCGTTTCTGCTCGTGTAGAAGAGAAAACAACGATCCATTACTAACAAATTCCGTAATGATGGCAAATTGCTGAAACACGACTAGAATTAAGAAGAACTTGGTATAAATATGGAGAAAGTAGGTAGCACACTCCATGATCACCACACCGTTTCGAACATTTCCATTCAATGTAATCTGCTTTTATACCTTGTACCTGCTTTTAGCGCTAACTTTTTACCACTAACCACCGAATAAACCGAAGAGGTATTAGCAAATGCATACCATTCGTTCCCATCGCGTATCAGAGTCGATCATTGGACTCGATTTGCTCACGGAACTCGTAGAATACGAAAGTTTTTTAGTTTCTGATGTGACTTTACTAGGTGATGAACCACCGCTGCAGCTCGCGATTCGACAAAGAGAAACATTCCCCGGCTACGATAATGCAGTGAACTTGTAGGGTCGTGCAACATTCTAGCATCTTAGTATTTACCGGCCTATCCACATATACTGAAATAAGTAACGACCAGAAGCAAAATCCAAAGAGGTTTTCTGAGTTTGCAATTTGCGATAAAACGATATGTCCGTGGTTTGTATGCAAATTATTGCAATATGGATTAGAGCAGTGGAAACCTCCCATTGAAACAACATTGTCAGGAATTAGCCCCAAGAAAACATCAGGAAAACGGCAAACAAAAAATCTCTCGTGAACAACAGAAGAGTGGTCCAACGGCAAGGCTCTGAGAAAAGAGAATTCGCCGAAACGTCAGCCATTGAACAAAGGCAGAAACAATAACAAGAAGATCTATACCGACCTCGCCACGGATCTCCCACACATAAGGGATCTCGAGCCGGTTAGTCGCGAGGCTACGTGGCGCGTCCCCAGGTGGCGGATAGGGGGTTAATCGCGGACCAAAAGCGACCGTTGCTTCCCTAAAACGCCGGTGGATGGACTCTCTGTTTCTACTGCGCCGATTTGCCACATACCTTCTGTATTACCTAGACGTATTCTTCCATGCGTGCGTTGGTGCGTTCTTGCTTATGCGGATTGTATTCTACGAGTCAATTCGGCCAAAAGCCTGCAATCAAGTGACTGCGAAGTATATGGGAGGCGGTTAGGAGCCGCCTCCAACAAACAAGCTCCATGTCCACTCTGGGAGAGCCTGGCAAGCTACCCGTGAGTAGACCCAGCTCCCACATCCAGAGCCCAGTAAGCTATACGTGGATATCAAAAAGCTAAAAACAGTAAAAGAAACGGGCGTCATTCCACTGACCCCGAAAGAGGCCCCAATTCGGCAGTGTTGAATAAGACAAGCACGGAGAGGGGGCTAGAATATCAAAGCCAAGGGAAGCTGCCTGGACTTCAAAGAACTATGGTGACGATCTGTACCAACAATGCACGTACACTTGCATCGGAGTCCTCGATAGAGGACTCGCTCAAACAAGCAAGAAGGATAAGATACAACGTCATCAGCCTAGCCGGAACGAGAAGACGGCAACCTTTCAACGCCATTTATGACAGCGGAGAAGAACTGTTCCTCGGAACATGCGACAGTAGAGGAGTCAGCGGAGTCGGCACTCTCGTCAACACGAGTTCGTCCATGAACATCGATTAATTCAACAACTAATAACCCGAATCGAACGTTTTCGGTTGGAGAGATGTGGATCAATACCGTTTTTAACAGCCTTCGTCGTTTGCACGCCGACATCAAACTATGACGAAGGAGAAGTCGAAGCGTTCTAGATGGGTATCAAGTTCTACAGAGAAGACCAACCATTCTTCAGGGGTACCATTGGAGATTTTAACGCTAAGATTCGACCCAAAAAACGTCTGAAAAACGTGACATTGGAACCCACGGATTAGAATGGAACGAGCAGGGCGAGCGGCTGTTTGAATTTATCACGACGACCAAGACCATCCATGATAACTCGAAATTCCAAAAGCCCCACCCTCAGCGTTGGACGTGGGAGCCTTCAGTGGAGAGTACCATAACGAAATAGACCACATCATAGTAAATAGAAGGCTTTGCCTAATCGATGTCATTGTTATCCCAAAATTCTACGCGGGATCAGACCATCGTTTCCATTGTGCAAGATTCTATTTCCCGCGGAATGAAGAGAAAGCGGCTAGTTCCAAAATCGAAGTCCCAGAACAACCGCAAACTGGGACTTATTCAATTCACTATTCGGCTGTTGGCGAACATCGGCGAAGAATACGATCGGCGCATTCAACATCTTCACGTTAGCGCTACGAAAGCTGAGTTCAAAAGTCACCAAAAAACGTTTGTCTTCAGAAACTCGTGCTGATACGCCAGCGTCGAATCGCACGAGCTGCAGGCAACCGCGAACTAACGTCCGAACTTGCAGAACAATGCAGACAGGCGGTAAAAGAAGATCTTAAAGAGAGAAGAGCAGCAGTAATGGTCGAAGCTGGAGAGGTAGGGAAAAGCAATCGGAAAACACACCGAAGCTTCACCAATTACAAGACCAAAATGATTGCACTGCGACGGGCAGACGGAACACTTACAGCGTCCAGAAAGGCAATGGAGAAAATCATTCACGAATGCTACTCGGTTCTCTTCGATAGCCATATCCACCTTCCGACATATGAAATTAAGGAGAATGGACATGTTGTACCACTGGCTCTCCCTTCCGAAATCCGATATGCCATTTCGTCGGTGAAAAATCGAACAGAATCAGGTCCGGGAAGGATAAGACCAGAACACCTGAAGAACATTCCGCCGGTCCTCGCAAGCACACTGGCTCGGTTCTTCACACGTTATCTGTCTGAATACAAGGTTCCTACTCAGTGGAAGACCAACAAGACCGTGTTATTGTTCAAGAAGGGTGACCTACACGATATCGGCAACTATCGCTCAATCTGCTTACTGTCTGTCGTCTACAAACTTTCCATTCGAGTCATCCTAAACAGGATTGACGGAACACTAGGCCAAGGACAGCCATGTGAGCAAGCAGGATTTCGAAAAGTATTTAGTACGATGGACAACATCCACACGGTAACAAGACTCAATGAAGGTTCGCGAGAGTACAAAAGACCGCTCTGTCTCACTTTCATCGATTTACAGAGGACCCTTCATTCAGTTGAGATAGAAGCAGTCTTGGAAGCCCTTGATAGTCAAAAAGTCCTTACACTGTACATAAAGATCCTTCGTGAGCTGTACAAAAAATACACAAGCAAGATATCACCATTCTAAAACGATATTGACATTGACGTCAAAAGAAGCGTTAGGCAAGGCGTTACCATCGCCTTAATCAAAATTAATCCCGCCACACTCCAGAACGTCATAAGAACATTGGAATGGGATAATATGGGAGAGAAAATCGATGGTCGGCAGTTACAACATCTTCGCTTTGCTGATGACATCATGACATCATCATGATGACATGACATATTTGCATGTTATTGTGGAGGGTGCCGGTAAATGATTTCGAGTTTTTCGAGTTATCATGGATGGTCTTGGTCGTCATGATAAATTCAAACAGCCGCTCGCCCTGCTCGTTCCATTCTAATCCGTGGGTTCCAATGTCACGTTTTTCAGACGTTTCTTTGGGTCGAATCTTAGCGTTAAAATCTCCAATGATACGCCTGAAGAATGGATGGTCTTCTCTGTAGAACTTGATGCCCATCTAGAACGCTTCGACATCTTCTTCGTCATAGTTTGATGTCGGCGTGCAAACGACGAAGGCTGTTAAAAACGGTATTGATCCACATCTCTCCAACCGAAAACGTTCGATTCGGGTTATTAGTTGTTGAATTAATCGATGTTCATGGACGAACTCGTGTTGACGAGAGTGCCGACGCCGCTGACTCCTCTACTGTCGCATGTTCCGAGGAACAGTTCTTCTCCGCTGTCATAAATGGCGTTGAAAGGTTGCCGTCTTCTCGTTCCGGCTAGGCTGATGACGTCGTATCTTATCCTTCTTGCTTGTTTGAGCGAGTCCTCTATCGAGGACTCCGATGCAAGTGTACGTGCATTGTTGGTACAGATCGTCACCATAGTTCTTTGAAGTCCAGGCAGCTTCCCTTGGCTTTGATATTCTAGCCCCCTCTCCGTGCTCGTCTTATTCAACACTGCCGAATTGGGGCCTCTTTCGGGGTCAGTGGAATGACGCCCGTTTCTTTTACTGTTTTTAGCTTTTTGATATCCACGTATAGCTTACTGGGCTCTGGATGTGGGAGCTGGGTCTACTCACGGGTAGCTTGCCAGGCTCTCCCAGAGTGGACATGGAGCTTGTTTGTTGGAGGCGGCTCCTAACCGCCTCCCATATACTTCGCAGTCACTTGATTGCAGGCTTTTGGCCGAATTGACTCGTAGAATACAATCCGCATAAGCAAGAACGCACCCACACACGCATGGAAGAATACGTCTAGGTAATACAGAAGGTATGTGGCAAATCGGCGCAGTAGAAACAGAGAGTCCATCCACCGGCGTTTTAGGGAAGCAACGGTCGCTTTTGGTCCGCGATTAACCCCCTATCCGCCACCTGGGGACACGCCACGTAGCCTCGCGACTAACTGGCTCGAGATCCCTCATATGATGAGGGAGATCCGTGGTATGCCTATCTAGGTCGGTAAATCAACATGTTGAACGACTTAGCTCCAGAGTTGAACAGAAACGAGCGGCTTGGGAAGCTTTCAAGAGCGTCGAAGATATAGTGAAGAGAACAAAAAGCGCTCGACTCTGCGCCCACCTTTTCCACTCCGCAATTGTTCGTGCTTAACGCACGCGTCGGAAACCTGGTCGCTCCGTAAGCAGAATGTGTCTGGTTATTGAAGAAAAACATCGGACCAATAATTAGCTGTTTTCTTGATAAGCATAAATGAGGTTGTTATTATATTACTTATCAATTATCTTATCTTATTACTTATTATATTACTTACTTATTATATATTACTTACTTATTACTTATTACTTATAGTAGTTAAATCTTCGGTGAATTTCACCTTCTTTAGAGGCTAAAAAGGTGAAGTTAACTGCAAAGCACTCAGTCACATAGCTCCTTAACTCCAAGATAAAGACCAAAATAAATTCTTCTCGACAAATTTAAAATGAAAAGACCACAGGACAGATTCCTAACACAATCGCCGTCCTCCATAGGTCTTGTGCTAAGCCTTCCACGTGGAGAACAACCGTACAGAGTTCACATGGATGAGCAATGTGCCTCCCTCACGTTAAAATATCAGTCTGGGATATTGCACGAGATCATGTGCAATAGCAAGGCATTCATCCCTGTCATTCATGTATGGATTCATTCAAGCTGGAATTTACCCAGAATGCTCAGAGGATTTCACGTTTTGTAGCTTTAGATTCTTGTGCTAGAATGGTGACTTCTACTTCAAAAGCTTCGCCGTTTTGCCTCTGAGTCCATTTCGCGTCGGATGGAGTATTTTGCCCAACTTTGTGGTTACCGTCTAGAATATTTTAAAGTAGAAGCAACCCACCAATGGCACGTTTGAATAACGTGATCCAAAATTTAACTGGCACTCATAACGTTTCACCGGATTGCTCAGCTCAGATCTTCGAAACTTAGCCCCATCTTCAAAACTTGGGAAAACACACATCGATACAGATGCACAGATCGGCTCGTCACATAAGAGTAAAAAGTTGTGACAGAAGGGCGAAAAGGATAGTGGAGTGATTCCAAGAGAATGCAATCATCCTGTTGAACGACTGCCTAAGTGATGGCTGGACGTGTTCGTGACTAACGCCAATCGCCTGCAATCGTAGGTGGAGACGCTTTTAGTAGTTTCAAATGGGTCTCACTGATGTCACTACGTTTGAAACATACCACAAACATGGACGACGATTACGTGAGAGAGAAGCAAGTGGAAATTATTTTGAAGCAGGCACCACCAGAGGAGACGGGTCTCATCCAACTATCCAAGTACCCAAGTAGAAGTTGTCTGTGACGTGGCTTTTCTTCTAAAACTACCCCGAGAGGTAGCTATCTCATAGCCATTCGAAATGGCTATTATCCATGCCAATTACAGGTACTCTTCCTATTTTCTTCCTGTGTACACACTGGTGGCTGGCCAACGTTCTTCTAGGTCGTTGTTGATGATATTTCAGTTCGATTTCAGCTTGATATATGTGAAAACAATGGCGAAACAAGTAGATCATGTGTAAGAGAACACCTAGACGGTGGCCGTAAAGTTAAACAAAATGAATGCTCCATTAGGCGCCCATAGGACACAAAGATACAACGGGAGGATTTTAATCTAGATGACAGCACCCTCGCATTGGAATCCAAAACTCCAGCGCATCTATTCGAAACTCGGACACCAGGCCGGATTCTAACTTGCGATTAGCATTTCCAGGCTCTCGAGTTACCCATTTTCAGCCTGTCTTTTTTAACTCCTACAGAGCCGTCGGCAATGGCCCGTCAGTGGGAATGATTTGAGGAGCACAAATCGGCGTTGAACAGATGAAGTTTCGGCCGAAGTTTCAATGTTTAACTTTTTACCTCCTTAAAACAATTTTGTTTTTATTTTCATTATGGTTAACTTTCACATAATTCCCAGCCATGAGAAACTGTATGCAGTAAATAAAAAGTTAAACTTTGAAACTGTTGATTCCCCCTACACTATCTCTGGGAGACTACCAAACCACACCACAATCTGGTCGTTCTTTCTCGAGTATAGAAAATGGGACAGGTATCCTCTTATTATTAGCATTATCAAGAACTCATTTCGTTAGAATCTACAAGGCTAGAAACGCGATGTTCTTGTAAAACGTACGCTAGGATCGTCTAGGACTGCCCCGACAAACGAAACCACATTTGGATGAGCGAGTTTCGACAAGATTGATACTTCACGACACAGCATTTCCACTTCAGACTTACAACCATAAACCGCTGCTCTATATCTAAATAAAAAAAAACTAGCACAATCAAGCGTCTTAATAATAAAACACTAAACTATTATTCAAAAGAAAAAACCTAAAGTAGCGCAATACTACCACGAAAACAAACATAACTCGTTCAAACAACATTTTCAACCTCTTTGCGCCATATTTTAACTTCTTTGCATTACGATCTCAGTAATATAGCGCCTGAGCATTCGAGAAGATACAAAAAACAGTGGAACCTTTTAATTGCAACAACTTTCCCTCGATAGCTTCCTTTGTACACTTTACCGAAGGAGCCACTTCCTATTGCCTCCTAAAACAAATAGCGATTTGTACTTGTCGCCCCATCCACTCTTTTAACAAAATAAATAGTGGGTTACCTGAAAGTCAATATCAGCCAAAGAGAGATGAAACGTTGGAGGCAAAGTTGATCTGAGTTGCAGCACCTCAGCCTTCTCACGCGTCATTGACCTTAGTCGACCCATTGGAGACGGCAGTGGAGTGTAGGAAGAATCTCCAGAACTAAGAAATATTGCTCTATGAGGTCCCGTTTCGCACTCTTTTTTGCGACTTATGTCAATGATTATTTTTTACTTACTTATTAGCATGTTTATATGGCATAATAATATACAGTACTCACGGCGATACTGTGTTTATGATCATTTCATATCCTTTAGCATCAAATACAGACAACTGAACAAATAAAGGGCATATAAAGGAAGACATAAAAATATTTCTAAAAAGAGTCAAAGTATAAAATGACAGAATCAAAGTTATTTTTCAGGTAAACTAAAAGTTAAGTTGTTTGGCAATAAGGTGATTGCGCGAGAACAGGCTCGTGGAACAGAAAATTAGAGGTGGAGAAACAAATTTGTGAGATCTATTGAGCAAAGAATTTTTCACGATAGAAAGCACTTGTTGATTTCTTAAATGTCAGAACTGCTAAAATAGAAGACTGAAACGATTACTATCAAAGAACCATCAACACTTTTTGTCTGCATGAAAGTGGATAGAAGCAGGGAAAATCGAAGCATGTGCTTGTCAATTCGACAGAATGCTCGAAATGAGGCTACTGTCTTAGTTCACCTTCATTTGACTAGGGTGGTAGAAAAGAAGTGGTTTGAAAATAAGACTTATAATATGTTCCAAAAATTTCAACTACGGCCACAGCTTAACTGGGTTTTATGTCGATGTGAAATTCCCAGATCAACATCGTTGACGGGTGATTGCTGATGGCACTGATCGATAGAGAACTAGCTGAGAGACAGGCGAAGCGAAGGACCTGCATGGTGTGGTGGCGAACGCGTTATTCCCCGAAAAGGACAATAGCGCGTTCGTTCCCCACCGCAGACACCCGCGGTCCACAATTTTGCAGATATCTTAGCAACTTTGTGGTTGTATCAAAATCATTTGCAAATTCGATCTCAACGTGATTATGAAGGTTGGTACTCGCAAAGTAGCGATGGCTATTTAGGACACATAGCGATATTCAATTGAACAATTTGTTAAAATATCTGTTTAACATGAATTTTCACTAGTTTAGTGGTGCTAACACAGCATGCCTTGTCAGTGCCTTCGAATGCGCTGCTCGATGAGCGACGCAGAGAGTATGTTTTCAAGAAAATTGTTACTCGAGGCAAAAGCTCCGTTCTTCGCGTCTTCCGCATTTGCACGACTCATTGGCTTCCATGAAGAAATTTGCCCAAGCAAGAGTCGATGTCAATTCTTATACAGAAATGTTCCGTGGTTGGTTGTTGACGATTGCTCAATAGAGGTTCTCCTCAGTTATTGAAGCAAGTTGGAAGCAATGTACACAAGGTGATTTATAAGAGATTGAACGATAAACTAGAAAAGAAATAGAGACAGGCCATGTTATTGAAACAAAAAGTGCCAATTCCAGAATTAAAAATGTGGAAATTAAGAGAGTATGACCAACTGTATTTACGAATACAAACGGAAGAAGAAAGCCAAGAAACCCAGCTCGTGAAATGATGACTTTTATGACACACTCAATACTGTCGAAAAGCAACAGTTACTTGATACTTGAACGGCCCGTCTTCATTAGTTGTACGGGCCACAGCATAATCACCATTTTTCGGAAATTTGCTGGTTAAGCCATTGTGGTTCCCTGGAATCGAGAGGATAGCCTGGCCAAAGTGTCTCAGGTCTTCACCACCACAGGTAGTCGCAGTCCTTGTGGATCAGTGGGAGATTTGCCACCATGCGACTTTGATACCAGGACGGTAGTGGATCCTGGTATTGGTTTACTCTTAGCTAGGCATTTTAATGGAAACGCCGGACTCCTTCTCAGCTTGGGAGACCATGCCGGGCGACGATTCCCCCCGCTGTACATCGCAGTCCGACACCCAGGAACACCTCCCAGCGACGATGAGGCGGTAAACCGTTGGGAGGAAGCAACAGATATAAGTAAACAAACAAATAACACTTCAAAAAAGTTGCTCAAAAGAATAGAAAATTAAAAGTTCGATCTAACTTCAAAATTTAAGCTGTAATTAAAACAAAGAGACAAATGTTGTTTTCCTGGTATTTCAGACAGACCTGTACTCACTACAAACTTCAGCGTCTAGTCTCCTATTGGCGTAATGCTTCAGAAGAGCCACGATACGGTCATGACCTTTCTCATAAGCCCAGATCACCGGTGTTTGCTGCTCCTGAAACTCTCGCCACTTATTAACACTATTCACTCAAAACGATTTTCGCTGTGAATTGTGAATTCTCTCTTATCACCCTACAAACGACGTGACTGAACCTTGCAGTACCAGATATCATTAACTATCCAGACTGAACTGTTTCAGGAAGCTGCAGTCTGTACCCATAGTTGCTAAGAAATTGGGAAAACCTGGCCATTTCAACCACCCACTTCAACAGAGACCACCGAATCACGCGATGATCTGTCCGACAGCGTCTCTGGTCGATTTAGCGCCATTATAGCTGCAGCAAATGTCGACTGGGCTGAAGCGACGTATAAAGCGTAGCACTGCTATGTTCTTAATCATAAATTAAGCAGCATACAGAGATAACAATATAAAAAATGACCTCCTTTACAAACACTTTTTCTTTGCCTATTTGCTAATTAATTTCTAGATTTAACCAGGCTCCCCAATAGTTTACCATGTCACTGTGCTGAGTACGTTCCTCGCTGTCGAATTACTATATACGTCAATTCATTGCCTCGAGCAGTGTCTCCCAAACAAAGAAGTTTGACACTTTCACTCGAAATGCAATAAAGTTAAATCCGGTTAATCTACGTTGCAGTAGAGCTAAGCTATCTATTTTAGGCAATATTTCCGCCACCAAGCCGTAAACACAAAGGATCCCCTCTCCCACAAACACTGTGATGCGCCCCCGTCTCCCGCACAGACGTCAAAGACTCATCGACGCAAGCCCGAGTAACTCGACGATGTGGAACCAAAGATCAGATGGATAACAAAAACGAGTGTTGTGAGTTTCGAAGAAAAACGGGAAAAAAAGCGCTAAATGCCCTCCAGAGACTGCAAAGTCGAGAGGTGATTTTCAGGAAGAACAAAGCTACCAGTTCGTACGAAAAGCAAGTATAGGAATATGGAAATAGGAATAAAAGAACAAGATTGTAGGCCAAAATGGATAAGCCCACTAAGTATTATTATTATTATTATTATTATTATTATTATTATTATTATCGTGGTTATTAAAGTAACGTTTGGATAATCCCTAATTTATGCAATCTGAGCATTTTAGAAACTCGTTGCACATCCCCAGTTGTAAATAAAAGTACTGGGATTTAAGGATTTAAAAGCTCAGCTGAGAAAAAATGATTGTATAAGAGCTTACGGCCACACTGCAAAGTTGAGGGCCGTTCATTCGTACGTGCGGCTAGCGACTGATCAGCACCGTTTTCCATCAAGTACTGTACTATATGCAAATGGCCATGATAGCAAGCAGAGTGCAGGGCTAAACTTATCTTTAAAAATGAATGAAAAAATCCGAGATACTTTGTTGCAGTGTTGTACACTTCCACTACCCTAACTTATGAAGTCAAGCGTATTTTCTAACCTAGAAGAAACGAAAGGACCACCTGTATGTCCGTCTCGCCCTTGATAGTTAGGATCCACTCCGGGCTGCTTCATTAAATAAGCAATTAGTTCAATGGATTTTCCACCAGTACACGCAGCATGCAGTGGAGTCTCAGAAAACACATTCTCCTACAATTCAGAGAGAAAGGGATTCCTTCATATACGAAGTAAGTCAGCCTATACTACAATTGCTCCACTATATTTTTCCTGACACGTTAAAGAATTAGATGTTTTCAAAAAAAACTATAGAAGAAACTCCTACACAATTAATAGATTACATAGATTTTGTAACAGCCGACATACTTAATTTACTATATGAACTTTTATTCAAAAAGAGTGGTCGTTTATTTCCAACATAAGGTGAGATAAGCACTACAGAATGAAATGATAATGAAACAACAGCAGAGAAGCTGCATTGTTTCGCAGGCAAACGGGAAGAGTGACAAAGATATCCATATAGTTTTAGGACATCTTACGACTTCAATCTCAAAAGTTCCCAAAAATGTGTGAACGTAAGATAAAATGAGCTCTCAAAAACATTTTATCGGAGAGGAATTTAGTTGGGAACGTAAACTGTATTTTGGAAGGTACGGTAACATAATGTATGCTTACAGAAACCATTAGATGGGAACCAGATGCGGAAATGAGAGCTTTGGCAGCATCCAGTCTTCCTCCATAACATGCTAGGTGAAGCGGAGTGTCGCCATACACATTTTGGGTAGCTACCATCTAAAATAAATGTACAGAGTTAAAATGACGGTAAGACTCAGTTCTTTTTTTGCTGCGTAGCTATTTCACTTCATAGGGTAAAAGAATCATTATGGAAACTAACGTTACGCTAAGGAGCAAGTACACTGGAGGAAACGGACTGCGAAGAAATCTGAATCCGGTGATTGACAGATTGCTATTGCTACTAATAATGTAAACTAATAGCTGAATTGTTCTCTCAATGCCATAAAACTTTACTCTGCACAACAATGGAATGTCAGTCTTCATGCCTTCGAGAATTTCTCCAAATTTTAAAAATACTTGAATACTTGGACAGCGAGCTCTCACAGGTTGTGCGGGCCAGAGTATAATTTCCATTTCTTCGGAGTTTTGCTGGCTTAGTCATCCTGGTTCCTTGGAATCCCGAGGTTAGCCAGGCCGAAATCTGTCCTAGATCGTCACCACCACAGGCAGTTACCGCCCTTGTGGATCAGATGGGGTTTTGCCACCATGTGATTAGCTTGATACCAGGACGGTGGTGGATCCTAGCATAGGTTTATTGTCAGCTAGTCTTCCTGGTGGAAACGCCGGGCTCTTTCTCAGGTTGAGAGACTTTGCCAGAGGATGAATCCCCCGCTGTACATCGTAGCCCGACACACAGGCAGGACACCTCCAACCACGATGAGGCAGTAAACCGTTGGAAGGGTTTAAAATTTTAAAAATAATAAAAAATAACGAAGGAAAGATGGCAAAAAGTTTAAATAGGATGTAAGGTAGGAACAATATTGTTACAAAAACCAAGCAACAGCAATGGAGTCGCCGTATTGATAGAGTTCTTAATTTTTGGCAATTTCCAGATTAGGCAACACCTCCCGGATATAATATCGTAATAAGACCTTCAAGAGCAGCTAGACAGTATATTTTCAAATCGAGTTTTAAATTTCACCAGGCAAATTACCTCTTGAACGTCGCTACTGTGTTTCAGTAGTATATTCAAAACACCCATATGACCAGTCTTTGCAGCAAAGTGAAGTGGTAAATTTCCTTCATCGTCAGGTAGCTGCACTGAAAGCTCTCACACCTCTCGAATTAAGAAAAAACCACGAGAAAGAGAAAAGTGAGGAAAATTTAAAACAACAAAGTTGACAGCACAGAAAAGTCTTGGTCATTTGCAAAAATAAGGTCGAAAAACAACGTGATGAATTCACGATCAGCTCCGGCTTCCAACAGAACGGATACGATGGCCGAGAGACCACGACTGGCTGCTAAATGCAGTGGACGGTCCTTCACTCCACCATGCACATTTCCGTCAGCACCACAACTTAGAAGGCAGCGGACTACCTGTAAACAATTGGGGCCAAATACAAACAGATTATGCTTATGGATTTAAAGTTATTGCTAAGAACTATTCACTTGAAACACTGCAAAACCTGAAGAATCCTAGTTTTTACTGTAAGTTAACCATTAGCGATCACTGGAAAAAAGTGAAAATATCAGAAAACCATAAGTTAAACACCGTGAACTACCTAAAGAGTAAAGGAAAAAGAAACGCACCTTACCTGTTCATTAGCGAAGTATGTAGCACAGTGGAGAGCAGTGAAAAGTACGAAATCATTCGCAACCAGTGAGGCGCCACCCGCGACAAGAGCCTGATGTGCGTCCTGTTTAATTTTAGGTTTGGACGAATTCCAGCAAAACAGCCCTATATCTCCACCTAAACAGTAGGGCAAACTACTCATGAGCGTACCCATTACAGGGTTCAACCAATAGACCACACACAGGGCCCACTTGTCAACAATACAAACAGACGTGGTCATTCCTTTGACTTTCTAACCAAAGCACAAGCCCTGAGGGGGAGAAAATAAAGGCTGCTAATAATCCGGGAGTTTACAAGGTTGAGAACTGTTACGACGAACTATATTTGAATTGCGCGCATGAACGTGAGGCTACACTTTGATGAAACAAGGCAAAAACGCCGAGAACTACGTAACCAAAAGAAAATGCTCTCGTTCAACACCGTTTGCTACATATATGTTCGGCAGGGAAAAAACCAGCGTCTTCTCTATACTGTGCCCTATCGTTTAAAATAAAAAACGATAAATTTCTGGACCTTAACCAATCCCTAAGATAACGATATACATTTGACTTCATTAAGCATCGTTAGAGGCGAGTGAATGCATGTCTCACGTTTGCAATCACTCGTTGTGGTCTACCGATGTATCGAGCCAGTGCTGTTACCATCTCAGACAAGTCTGGCATTAATTTGCCGACTCCAGGCGGAAGTAGGGCTTGGTGGGCCTGGGTCACTGGGGACGATTCCATGTGTATTGCAGGGCGCCTCTGACCACTGCGCTATATGCGCCCTTTTTCTACCCAAATGTATATAATAAATAACGAATACCTGCACTATCGGCGCACTTCCGGTCATCGCAGCAAGATGAAGAGGAGGTAACTGATGGCGACCCCCGAGACATGGATCCGCCCCTTGTTCTAGTAACATCTTCACCAGCAATGAATCACCCTAAAGTCTAGATTCAATCAATCATCGGATGTTATTATCCATTATGAAAATTTCAGCACACTACGAAGAGTAATAATGATCTTACAAAAAATAAACACAAAACAACTAAAGGAAAAGATGGAGATTTCAAATACATGCAAACAACACTTTAATGGTACCCAGTGATAATTACCTTGTATACAGCAAGGTGCATGGCTGAAAATCCGTTGCTTGACAAGTGAGATAGAAGGCCATTCCACTTTATGGTGTCTCGTTCGCAAGCTTCCAGAAGCAGCGATATTTTCTTTATCTGCTAGAAAAAGTGTAAATTGTAGGAAATATGGCACTGGTAGGCTATGGTTCCGAGTTCATAAAAACACTTGAAATCTGCAGAAAACACTTGATTTTCTTTGATTAGCACTTATTTCTCGATAATTAACGTAATTAAGAAGTTCCGACTTAATAAGCTCACACAGAAGACATTGTTCTATCACTGGGACTTAATAAGCTCACACAGAAGACATTGTTCTATCACAATAATATTTTTTAAATTTTTATTTTTATTTCATATTTACAATATGATTGGCTTTCCTAAGTGACTTCTTATTTTTAAACTTGCTTAGAACTCGATCTTTCAAAAGACAGAGACAACATTTAGATCTTTGATTCTTATAGCACAATTTCAACAGCTGGAAACGTCTGTGTGAAATTGTAAGTCAGCCGCCGCGTCATTCTGTATATGAAATCCTGCTTGCTAGACGGCTCTGCTGTCCGAGATCACAGCTTTGACGGAAAGGAAAGAAGGGACAAATCCTAAGATTTCCAAGAAATCAGAGTCATATAGTTGCAGAGTAAGCAATGTGGTTGAGATATGATGGTTCAAATTTGGAAGGCGCAATTATTTTCATTCGCCTTGTCCGACTGTCATAACAAATGCGTTAAAATATCCCGCTAAAATAAGACTGCACAAAGAATTATTCCAGTAAGAAAGATATGAAACGCCATTACGACCTAGAGTACACAAAAACAGATTGTAGGAACACCTTTGATCTTGATAGAAACAAAAGGAGTTTTAAACGTGTTTAGCAAAAAGAATAAATAACACTCCACCATAGAAAGATGTATACTTATTTGTGATACAACAATCAATGGTGGTGAAATAACCACAATGTTGCTGAGATATTTGCAAAACTCTGGACCACAGGTAGTGATTCAATAATCGCGCGTTCGTTCCCCACCTTAGACAACTGTGATCCAGAGTTTTGTAAATATCTCAGCAACATTGTGGTTGTATTTCGCATAGCACCCTGCCGTGAAAATTGTAGAAGACAGAAAATAAAAAGTAAAACACAGTGGTGAGATATTTGTAAAACTCGGAACCACAGGTGTGTGCGGGCGGGGATCGAACGCTCTATTACTCTTTCCGGAGACTAACGCGTTCACCGCCACACCATGGGTGGCCCGTCATTTCGTCTTTCTCTCTTTTCCATCTACTAGATAGAAACTGATACTAGATAAAAACTGATACTAGATAGAAACTGATACTGGTAGATAGAAAACTAGCTGAGAGAAAGGCGAAACGAAGGACACGCATGGTGCGGTGGTGAACGCATTAACTCGCCGAAAGGGTAATAGCGCGTTCATTCTCCACCGCAGACACCTGCTGGCCTAGAGTTTTGCAGATATCGCAGCACCATTGTGGTTGTATAATACATAATACCCTGCCGTGAAAAACTATAATCGGCTGTAAATAAAAAGTTAACATTGTGGTTTAAACTAATTTGTTCTAACACCCCAGAGGAAAATGTGAGTCACCTCCAAGGAACCTTCGGAGTTTATGGCTAGAACAAAGAGAAGAACTGACTGAATCATTTTGGCCAGCGCAGATGACATGTAATAGCGAAAGTTGCTGTGGAGTACGGCAATCGACTAACTCTGGAGTCAAAAGTCGTGCGAACTCGTCTGCCGGTCCATCACTACAGTTCTCAGATGTATTCAGAATTTTTTATCTAACATACCACATCGAGAAAAAAGATAACACAAAACAGTAAACAATAAATCTTAATCAGGCTGTCCTTTATGCAACAATTTCGACGGGTTTCCGTCTCCAATATGGACAATTTTTCCAAGCCTTTGGGAACGAATTGGTTTTAATGTGAAAGCTTCAATATCGAATGAATAAAACAAAAGATTTAGAACTTTTAAACTTACAAGGCAGCGATCTGCAATGGAGTCCAATCCGAACTTCGTGCTTTGATATCATCGTTGAGTCGACTTCTTACTACTGCGTAACCTTCACTGATCTTCTTCTTTAGTTCGTCTAAAATCGGATCAGTAGGATAAGATAATAACTGTGAAATTTCAACCACAAGGATGTTGAGCTCTGAGTACAACTCGGAGCTTGGGTGAGTTTCAAACATGCGATTACCCTTTCTGTGGCCCACATTGCTCTCCACCACACTAACCAAGGCCTTAGCTTTGGCATTTTCTCAGCCAATCGCAATTTTGTGCTAATTCATTTAAAATGAAATAAAAACAGTGCTTGCAAAGAGATGTCTTCATAGGTAATCTCTCGAAGTGAGTGTTACAAAGTCCTCTTCATCGTGCAATACAAGCCGGCAGGTGGCGAGTGGCACAGTTTAAGTGGTGCCCACCATCACTAGCACGGTTCTGGTTCGATCCCTGTCCGAGCTCACCAAGACTCTCATCTCTAGCGTCCTGAAATTGCTACCGGACGTGTCTGGGAAAAATTCACTCCCTTCAATCCAAGTGGGACCGCTCTAGCACGGTTATCTAAGGACTCCAAGGAGAATCGACTCGGCTAGTATTAAACAACATTGATAATGAAAGAAAAATCCCCAAGTCACACCGGAAGACAACGTAAAAGAAATTGGAATAGGTGCGCCTATGGTGGATGCGAGGAAACAAACGAATGCGAGAAGTGCAGGGATCCGCTAAAAAGAAATACCAACTGACGGACTACCGGCCCAGTCTAGAAAGCCCATCATAATAAAAAAAAAAAAAAGAAAGAGGAACTGGATGAGACCTCATACTGATTTTCTTAGGGCATTGTGCACCTATTCTTAAGGTGCTATTCGCAGTTTGTAGGCTTTTGGCCGAATATAGTAAACAGAAGGAAAGCTACAAGAAACAACGCCTAGATAAGAAAGACGTTGCATTTATATATGAAAGAGTATAAGACAAAAACGTAAGGTTGAATTTATAAGCATAACACGTGCAATTTATAGAAGAACTAGAACTCAATAATATACATCAATGACAACAGACAGTCCCATAAATTGACTTGATCTCTAGAGATCGTATACGCGGTGAGTTCTGGTTTACGTTTAACCCATAACCATAAAATAACTATGCCAGTATGCATGTTACCAGAGTATAGAGGTGTTTCGATGTTCAACAACTGACCTAGAGCCTTAATAAAGGATAAAAGGATAAAGCTTTCGGCGTTGATCAATCTCTGAGGGATGCGTCATGCATTCGACTTCATTAAGTGTCGTTGGAGGTGACTGAGTGCATATTTGGCCTTTACAATGACCCGCGGTGGCCTACCGATGTATTGAACCAGTGCTGTTATCCTCTCAGACAAGTCTGATACCAATTTGCCGATCCCGGAAGAATGGAGGGCTTGGTGAGCCATGGGCGCGGGAATCGTTTCCACGCGTGTGTCGCAGCGGCGCCTCCAACCACTGCGCCACACGCCCCCAATGGAGCTTTAATAACACTACAAATAAGCACGTGCCATCCTCACTTCTACTATATTAGTTTTTATTTACATTACAGGATCTGTCTTTCACATCTACTGTGCGGATCCCAGCAATTCTTGTAGTCGATTTGTTCCGTCGCATAGGATACCCACCTAGGTCCTCTATCTTTTGCATGTGGATCCCGCTGCTGCTTGAGGATTTTTGCTTTCGTCACGAATGTCGTTGAATGCTGGTCGGGAAAATTTTTCCTGGAGTCTTGCGAAAGCTGGGTTAGAGCATTCCCAATTCGAATGCAAAGAGTGAACCTTTCCCAAACAAGTCTAATACCAATTTCACGACCCCGGAGAGATTACAGTTTTGGTTAGCCTAACGCAGATCAAAGCAACATTATGCTCCTTAATAGCTAAACAAATAAATATACGACTGAAACGCTACCTGAGCATGATGTCTGTGGCCTTGATTTATAGTTCCCCATCTATCAGACAGTCATTAGACTACATGTCATCTAGAATCTACATTAATCACGACGAACAAATCGACGATGTACGTTCTGAAACGTCTTCATATTATAAATAAAGTTGAAAGCAGGATTATTGTTAGACAGGTAGAAAGTCAGAATGAAAGCTTCAAAGCAAGAGAGAGGCACTATATAAATAGAATAGCAGGACATTACGAAACTTCACATTTCAATCTCGTGGGAACGATCTGGACAACGATTCTTTTCCCTAAGAAAAACCAACATTTACTCTTGCAGAGAATCATTGACAAGTTTTAGCATCGAAATCGATGCGTATGATCAATGAGAACCTCAATGCATTAGCAAGCGGTTCATTAAATGCTGAATATTGCAGCAAAACCGAGGTGAGCGCAGAAATTATGATTATGCTTCTTCTTCGACTTATTAGGATTCCCACATAGAGATTTGCATATCTTGGATTTTATATCATCAAATTTGGCATTATCCTCTGCTCGTACAAGCTGATGACAACATCAGTTCACAAGTGCTCACTCATTAACTACAGGAAAAATGTGTTCTTGTTAGATACAAGAAATAAGCAGATGAAGACGATTCGCGAATACCATTCAAACGACAAGTGAGGAGGAGAGCTGCAGCCGGGTGATGCTGCAGGCAGGACTGGTCGCCAGCGGGCCGTCCCCCGCACTCCCTCGAGCCCGCTGTCGGGGTGACTACGCACACACGCTCTCTCGTCACCGTCTGACTGGACTCGCTTGCTCATAGCCTTTGTTACAACAGCCAAACCGGCCTCATTCAAGCAACTCTTCAGCAAGCTTTTTCTAAATAGATTTTAGTACTAAGTCACACAACACTAACTTTTGCTTGGTTTTTTCAGAAATTGCCTACAATATTCGTTTACAAAGTATTTTTGGCAAAAGGGTAACCAGTAACCGAAATAACTAAGTTGGATCACCACCACACCACACCGGGTCCTTCGTTTCGCCTTTCTCCCAACTCCACATCTCAACATCACTCTAAGTATATTTCACGTTGTACTCCATAGAGAAAGAATAGGCAGTAAATGAAAAAGTGACTACATTGTGATTTACATTCTAGCTTCAGCTTACCTGGGTTCGACGCCGATTTGTGCTCACCAGATCAATCCAGTTGACGGGTGATTGCTAATAGCGCCTGTAGAACACGTCCGAGAGAAAAGAGAAACGAAGGAGTCGCAGTGCTGGTGAAGACGTTAGCCACCGGAAGGGCAATAACAGGTTCGATCCATATAGGAGGGCTAAAGGTTATAGACAAATTGTTCTAGTCTTGTTCCGCATAATATGAACGATTTGATGGTTCGCCTACCTCGTTTTCTCTGATCTCTGTTCTGACTCTACAAATAGGTGCTTGACGGAGTAAAAATGCAGTACCGTTATTTCTTCGGATACGCGCTAAGTGAAGCTGTTGTAGCCTCCATTTTCGGCTGTGGAATGCTTATTTGGCCTGTAGTTACGAGCTGCACGGTTCTCAGCATATTCCAATTGTTTTATTCTCTTACAAACATCGTTTAATGTGGTCTTTTTTTCAAATATGATGGCGTCTCCAAATATCTTTCCTAGGATTTTCCATGTGCTGAGATTCAAAAACAGATCTCACCTGAACAACAAAGCAAAGAATTGAAGGAAATGTGTAGCGCAATGGTTAGAAGGCCTCTGCAATACACACGTGGTCGGTCGTTGGTTCGATCCAGCGCCCTAGGCTCACCAAACCTTTCATCCTTCCGAAGTCGGCGGAACTGATACCATGGTGGTCTGGAAGGAGGGCAGCAGTGACTTGATATATCTGTAGGCCACCACAAGTCAGGTATAGGACAGATATGTGTTCGATCACCTCTGTGATGTTTGAATGAAGTGGATGGGCGCAATCCTCAGGGACTGGTCACCGTAACGATTTTAAGCCTTACTGTTATAGGTCTTCCTGCAGACATATTGAAGTCAGTTATATTTTTTTATATGACCCGTGATCGTGGACCTACGGTGCAGATCCCAGGCGTTCTCGCATTCGATTCCTTTCCTCGCATCCATCATCCACGAAGGTCTTCTAGCTCTAACCTGTGACTTCGGCTGCTGTTTAAGGATTTTCTTTTCATTATGAATGTCGTTGAATGCTGGTCGAGTTGACTCTCCCTGGAGGCCTGAGAAAGCCGGGTTAAAACGTTCCCACTTGGGATGCAGAGAGTCCAACTCTGGAGGGAGGAGAGACTTGGTGAGCTCGGAGCGGGATCGAACAAGCACTGTGGTCGTAATGGCTGGAATCACTACCACTGTTCAATTCGCTCCCTGAAGTTAGTTATAAGCTCAGTTATATTTCCTTCTTGAGTGATTCGTTGCTAAGGTGAGAGAAGCTATGCGAACCGAAGTTATTAAAGAAATAAGAGGTTTTACATCCATTACTGCTGCTTCAACAGTAGCTCGTAACCTTCAGTCTGTTCTTCTTCAATTTGTCTATTAAGTATGGGGGACGATTCCATCGAGAATGTTCTTGTGACTTGTTTTTTTCTTTCTAAGGGATGACAAGAGTCCTTCTTCAATTTGCAGCTATACCGAATCTTTGCACGGTGAAAGCAGTATTTGAATCGCATTTAAAATGGCAGTACTACAAAGGCGTAAAGGAAGAATAAGCTTTTCTTTGTAGAAATGTAATAGATCGCTGATTCGATCATTCCATTAGGCAACGCTTTTTTCTCATGTCAACCGGCGGTTTTCGTTCTTCTTTATAAGTAGAACTACATTAAAGATGGAGCAGTGGAGAAGAACCAAGTATGAGACAATTTTTTAATATCCTTATTTTCAATTCTGAATTTTATAACTCTATACCGACTTCGCTTGTCTTTCCAATTCCTAAAAGAGTGTTTAATTTCCTACTTACTGCCTATTATTTTTCATGGCAGGGTAAAAATAAAAAAAGGGATAGATTTTCCGGTGTTGATCAATCCATGAGGGATACGCCATGCATTCGACTTAGTTAAGCATCGTTGGAGGCAAGTGAATGTTTATCTGGCCTTTACAATGACTCGCGGTAGCCTATGTTTCGAACCAGTCCTGCAATCCTCGCAGAGAAGTCTGCTACCAATTTGCCAACCCCGAAGGGATGGAAGGGTTGGCGGGCCATAGGCATAGAGATCGATCCTATGTGCATTGCAGGGTGCCTCCAATCACTGCGTTACACCCGCCCCAACTAACTCTCTTAGTTAGAATTGAAATTGTGATAGGTTAGTACCAAAGTTCCTCATTGGTGAACTTGTTCGGTAAACGGTTTCTCGCACAATGAATTTCTAGCCCACACCATATACACATACGATACTACCGACTTTTCTACTAACCTGAGCTTAGTTTAAACTTTAATTCGGTTAATGTGTGGTGCCTCTGCCTTCCTCAGAGCCGAGTTGATCCGAATCGATGACTTAAACAGATGGTAGTCCTTGCCATGTGGGTGTTCGGTGTCGGGTCAAGTCGAATCCAGTGGAAGCAGCACCCTCGAATGGAGGACCTCACTCGGCAGTGTCCTTTTACACAAAACGAATGTTGGTCGATTATCGAAATTTTGTTTTGTATAACCACAATGGTGCCGAAATATGTCGAAAACTGCGGACTGAAGGTGTCTACTATAAGGATTGAACACGCTGTTGCCCTTTCCAGGGGCTAACGCGTTCATCACCACATCGTGCATGTCCTTCGTTTCGCGTTTCTCTCAGTCATGCTCTGTAGGTGCTATCAGCAGCTACCCGTCAACTCAACTGGGTTGATTTGGGGAGCACAAATCGGCGTTGAACCCAGTTAGGCTGAAGCTGTAGTCTAAATCACAACGTAATCACTTTTTATTCACTTCGTATTCTTCTTTTCATGGTAGGGTATGATGTGAAATATAGTACGTGGTGTATTTATAAGTGCAGAGTAAACCTTTTCCTGACCAACGCCGTACGCAACGTGTTTCCTGGAATCTATCATTTGCTAACAAAAAGTGTAGGAAAATAGAACTACGATGATGCTGAAGCACGATTGTGAGAAAGACGAAACGAAAGAGAAGAATAGTGCAGTAGTGAACATGTTAGCCCCAGGAAAGGTGATAAAGAGGTTCGATCCCCACAGCATACACCTGCGGTCCGGCGTTTTGCAAAAATTTCTAGCATCATTGTAGTTGTATTTCATATCATACGTCGCCATAAAAAACAATTAGGCAGAAAACAAAAAGTGATTGCATCGTAGGTAAATAGTTCTGTGTTGAAGTACTGGATATATGGATGGCCCATCTTCGCTATTTCTGTGAGACCTAGCACAATTTTCGCTTTGCGACCGGACATTGGATGGCCCAGCCATTATGGTTCTTTGCAGTCCCAAGGTCAGGTCAGCCTAGGCGAAGTCTTCCTCAGGTTGTCACCACCTTAGGCAGCCGCCGCCCTTGTGGATCAGGGGATATTTGCCACTATGCGACTATTCTGATACCTGGACACTGGTCATTTCTGGTATTGGTCTACTCCTAGCTGGGCTTTACGAATGGAAACGTCGGACTTCCTCTCATCTTGGAAGGCTACGTTGGAGAGATGAACCGCCACCCCGCTGTACATCGCAGCCCAACGCCTGGGAACTCCTTCCAGCCACGATGAGGCGGTAAACTGTTGGGAAGACGTATTAAAGCAAACAACCAGAAAGAAAATAAACTTGTGGTTGTCATACAGGTCACTCCTACAAAACTGTTATGATATCTATAGGTGTCACTCATGACAAGAGCGTTAACGAAATGGAATGCATGGCGCATCCTTCAGAGAATAATCAGTGCTAAGGGCTTTATTCTTCTACTGGTTGTCTTAGCACCCAATACCGTAGATGTCGTAGACAATGTGCGAGATGCTGAGACCGTTTTGTTTCTTTCCTGAAGTCACAATGTAAACTTGGTAAGATGTTCCCAGTGTTCTCACCACAAGCAGTAGCCGGAAATTGAGGATCGAAGCAAACCATTTTGCGACTAGATTTTCATCAAGACGACAGTGATTTACTGATATTAATTTGCTTCTAGTTATCTTCCACAAGAAGTATCGGACCCTATAGATTAAGTGCTAATGCTGAGGAATGGCGGACCTCCCACTGTATGAGTTCGACATCCAAGAACAACGCCATCTCTCCACCCTAAGAATGAAACGGTAAGCCATTAGGAAAGTGCAGTAGAATATTTTCTTTCACATCCCGCTAGAAGCAGATTACATTTTTATTCTCTTCAAACGTTATTTGAGAAAACACAAGCGGTATCAGTGTTCACGCGGACGCTCACATTTCGTGCTCCGTTCCCACACGTCACACTAATGTGTTCAGGTCCTTTAATAAAAGTGGCTACGGTATAGGTGGTTTTCATTCTTAAACCTTCGGTTAAAAACTGTTCTGGGTTCTAGTGGGATTTCCTTCACATGATTTGTTCTCTTTCTTCTATGAATGTATGGGAGCATTTTTCTCGTGTTTTGGATTGATATTAGTTGTTCATTCTTCGTAGCGTCATAGATAAGCGTGTATTTTGCACCACAGGGGACAAATTTAACTTCACCATCTGTTATCTCCTAAAAATCTGTTGTTTCTTAGTTCTTATGTTCAAACACATATGTGTCATAGGGAACGCTTCGATTCTAATCCACCAATGCGCAGGGGTGATAGAATCAAAATGGACAGACAACGAACGCCTTCGAAACATCTTGAAAATTGACTCTGTCGTTGAACATTTTCTTCTTGAAGGGATGGCCTAATTGCTATTGTAGCGTCATTTTAACGGTTTATGATGAGGTGTTGGTTAGCTCGGGTTAAATATTTCGCTATTTTTTAGTACTTGTTTTGGAATTTGCACAGCAGTCGTCGGGTGCTACAGTTTCGTTGTAATTTATGAAGATATAAAGTCTCTGAACAGTTTACCACCTCATCATGGTTGGAAGCTATTCTTGCGTGTTGGGCTACGATGTACAGCGGGAGGATTCATCTCCCCGGCGAGGTCTCCCAAGCTGAGTCCGGTGTTTCCATCAGGAAGCCCAGCTGGGAGTAGACCGATATCAACGTCCACCACCGTCCTGGTATCAAACTACTCGCACGATGGCAAATCTCCCTCTGGTCCACGAAGGCGGCGATTGCCTGTGGTGGTGATGACACCTGGGGCAAGCTTTGGCTAGGCTAACCTTGGGACTCTAGGGAAACGCAGTGACTAAACCAGCGAACTTCGAAAAGCGGAGAATATGATGCAGCCCGAAGAACCAGCAAAGACGGGCCGCCCAAGTGTCCAAATAGAAGATATAAAACCATCAAATCATCATTGATACTGCATGTTTCGTGAGCTGTCCGGGTAGTATGAGGCGAAGAGCCTTTTGGATCTACCGCGCCGAAATAGTGAATCGCTTATTGCACTGAGCAGGACGAGACGGTTCAGCATCGATGCTTTCAAATCCATCACTAACGAATGAGTATGAACTCATTAGTAGACATGGATTTGAAGGAGACGTCTGTATCAGGATAGACTTGCTTCAGGACACGGTAGATGTAGACCGTATAGCTGTCCTTTTGTCGATGCTTCTTGTCTACTGTCTTCGACTAGCTTTCTGATTCTTCCATCTTTTGTCGCTTTTTTGGCGGACGGTTTCAGCGCCATAGCGGAATGCACCAGTCCAGATTGACGTATCGCTGCTGAGGCGCTTCGTCTTGCTCAGTACAATAAGCGAACCACGATTTCGTCCCTGAAGATCCAGATGGCTTTTCGTCTCAATCTACCGGTAGAGTTAACCAAACATCCAGTATTTAAGAGCACAGAGGCTATGAAGATATAGATAGCGCATTAGCTTTTTCCATCTCTATTTAAAATGTCCTAGCGATTGCTGTGCAGGTCCACATATTCATCATTTTGCAATTAGGCTAACTGTTAATAGTTCCTGATTGTCCATTGGTTGGCTTTTCTAGCGAAATAGTTAGTTATCGATTGAGACTATAGTTATATTCTAAATCGTAATACATTGATTTAAGTCGTTGTATCTTTTGTTCTGTTCTCACACTGCAACATTCTCTTTATCATGATATATCACTGAGTACGTTAAAGTTATCTGTTCAGATGCTACGCACTAATCTGTGTATACCACGACTGTTCCCTAGGTTTATATCCGTGTCGGCAACGAAAGCAGTGGAGCGGCCCACAGAAAAAGAGGTCCTTGACTAGTGTTTAACATTACTTTCACTTTGAGTTAGATTGAGCTGTTTAGAACTGAACGTTTTTCAGTACTAACTTCCATACTGACTTCCTTACTCTAAGTTTTTCGCTTTAAGGTTGAAGAATTATTCGCCGATAGTCCGCAAGAAAGAAGAGCAAATGCGTTTAGGTATGCTATCTCCAAATATATGTCGCTGTCCTGAACATTTTTTGTTTATTAGAGATTTAGTTTAGCATGAATAGGGTAGAAATCATTGGTGGTGTTGCTAGCGATCCTGTTTGCAAAGTAGCCAAGAACGATCGGTCTTATGCTCTGCTTAATGTTATCACGAATTCAAGGTTTCGTCTGGCCAATGGCGAGTACAAAGACCAGGTATACACTTTTTCCACTTGAATACCAGTATATAGCATGTCTTCTAAAAATTCTGGGTAAAAGATTCAGATATTTCAATTTAGGGACACGGTTTGTCTAAAGTTGGCTAAATGATTTCAGTGCCTTGAAGGCGATTTAGAGGGTTCCTTGATGCACTGAGAACCACTCTATCGTGTCCCTTCTTGTTTGATACCATTCTTTGCTAAAAATGCATCCACTTCTTCAAGTAGTATTTTTTGCCGTAAAGAGTGGTAGACCTCCCAACGGTTTACCGCCTCATGGTGGCTGGGGGGTTTTTCTGCGTGTCGCGTTGCGGTGTACAGTGGGGGTTTTATCCCCCAGAAGGGTATCCTAAGCTGAAAAGGTGCTCGGCATCTTCATGAGGAAACCTAGCTGAGTGTAAACCAATTCCAGGAACCACCACCGTCCTGGCACTAGACTAGTCACATGGTAGCAAATCTCGTCCTGATCCACAAGAGCGGCTACTGCTTTTGGTGGTGAGGACCCGAGGCAGACTTTAGCCAGGTTGACCTAGAGGTTCAAGGGAACCACAGGGTATAAGCCAGCCAGACTCCGAAAAGGTAGAAATTATGCTGGGGCCTGCATAGCCATTGAAGACGGGCCATCCAAGCATCCAAGTAAAGAGTGGTAGTACACTGTAGAACAGATAATCATGTTGAAATTTCATAGTGGATATGTTGAAGTTTGAGTTTTAAGGAAGTCAATTTGGTTAAATGAGACGTTTCGATATTGCTTGTGGTTAGCAAAGCCATATCCCAAGTATCAAATGTTGATTTTGAGTTTCTTAGTCAATGTACTCCTTAGTTTTATCCATGTCAAGAGTGTTTAGTGTTTCGATCACTAGCCCGGAAGCACCATGCTAGTGAATATTTTGCCTTCTTTTTAAACAGTATGTTTATAAATATTAATCATGCTTATTTCCTAGATTGAACGTCATAAAATAACTGCTTTTGGAAAGACTGCGGAGTTTGTGGCTAACAATATTAAAAAAGGTTTGTTTTTGATTTTTTTTTCTTTTAATGGTGACGGGAGCATTGTGGCCTGTTGTCTCTCCAATTGGCGGCAAAATAAAGCTTGCCTTGATGTAGCCCATAACTATTTTGAATTCTAGAATATGGCTGTGAGATCAGGAAACAGTAGTTTTCAATTTTGTTTATTTCTTATCTTTATTTTCTGGATTTTAAAAGCCTTAACTGTTATCTTTAATTTTTTACTGAGTCGAAGTGCAAGGGAAGAGGGGTAGTTCACTATAAAGCTAAAAAAATAAAGGAATAAAGTTCGGCGTTGATCAATCCCTGAGGGATGTGTCATGCATTCGACTTCATTAAGCATTGTTGGAGGTAATTGAATGCATATCTTACCTTTACACTGACTAGCGGTGGCCTACCGATGTATTAAGCCAGTGTTGCTATCCTCCCAGGCAAGTTTGGTACAAATTTGCCGGTCTCGGAGGGACGGAGGGCTTGGCGAGCCTGGGGCTGGGAGATCGATCCCATGTGTATTGCAAGGCGCCTCTGACCACTACGCTAAACGCCATCGCCTCATTATATCATTATTATCCCATTATTATATCCAACTAAACTTCCATCTTGCCAAATTTATCCATTTTACAGGGTTTTTGGCATTCGTTTGTTTTTGTAATAAAGGTCTGCATTTGCAAGTTTTGCACTCGTATATTTCAATAGTAGGGCGCGCATAGCACGTTTTTTATGCTTCATTTTTAAATTTTTCTGTCGAAAATTGAAAATAGGCTACAGCTGACCTTTTCAACTAAGTTCGTTCGTTGCCAGAAATCATCGTAATCCCATAGTTATGTAACCATGATCAAACAGATTTCTTCGCTAGCAGTTTGACATAGAAATATATTTAGGCCAACGTGTTCTCATAAATGCTCGATTGCACTATTCTGGTGGGACCCTTGATGATCAGGGAGTTCGGACCCCACGACAGACTCATATTCACGCCGAAAATATCCAACCTTTGGCGCGTCGTGGCGGTGATATCATTTAAGAGGTTATCTTCGTAAGAACGACTGTTGTATCGTTATAGTTTTGTGCGTTCCATGCAGTTTAAATTCATTGGTATAGACTGAGTATTCTCGCACTTTTGTTGTTTCTGAATCTTTTCCTCACTCTTCAGTCATATTTGGAGCGTTAATAAATAGAATGTGGAAGATATGATTTGATCCGTTTTCGTTGTTGTTGTAACAGTTGCATATTTGTGTTGACATCTTCATGTTGTGTGCTCACGTCTGTGCTAATGAAGTTGTCAAATGCTGTGTTAGTTTTCTTACATATCATGGTCTATGGTCCCACATATTTGTTGGTTGGTTACTACTCCACTTGTTTTCCTTTTATTTCTTCTACGCGCTTTTCCGTTCTCAAAGGACGTTTCTAGAAACTTCTCTGAGTTGACTATTTCGTCGCATTTAATTGATATATGTGCCGACAGGTCTGAGAGTATAATGACTGTTTATGTAGTCTATTGCAGAATCTATTCATTCTGTCGTTATAGGCTGTTACAAGCATTCTGGAATCAATCTAGGAAAGTGGAGGGGGTAGCGATTACACGCACTTGCGCTACTGTTTATCAATTGGGCAGGTTTTGTATTTCGATGAATCGATACATTTTGAAGCGAATCGACAAGTATTAGTTGCTGGCTGGTGTACTTTCAACAATTGTCTTCATGTATTGGCTTGTGTGTCCGATCAAAATGCTCCGCATTCTGTTGCGACGTTATCTGGAAAAAATATGAGCTTCGCGCTGTTATTTCCACTAAACTACTAAGCTTGATGCCTACCTGTATCACTTGGAATGTTGTTGATCATCGCTTCATCATTGCGAACACTAGTAATGTCTCTGTCGCTGATCATGTAATGCGACAGAACTATGGATTCCTCCTACTGGTGCTTTACTAGTCTTTCCAGCGGTATGCTATAGTGAGTAGTTCGCCGTTTATGCTGTAGTGGTACTAGTGCACACACTTTGGTTTTTCCTAGGTGTCTAGGTGGTATTTGATAAAGCCTTTTACAAACTGTTTACCATGGACTACGTACTAGTCGCACTCTTGACCGAATCGACGTACGGGTGCGGAAAAACCACCAAGAAAGGAAATAAATGGGGGCATTTGTATGTCATCAAATGTGTAGGAAATGTCCATCTAGTGGTTTTTTGCTCGTCATGACTGAGTGTATTGAGCCGCCTTAAGCAGTCCTGCTAGGGTTTTCCTAGGTCTTCACTATGGGTACTGACTAGTATCTGTGGACAAGGAGTGGGATCCGCTGGTGTTAGGACTGACATTCTTCTAAAGCTTTTCTAATTTTCGCAACGGCAGTGAATCTTGAGATTACTTGTCTGGTTGCTCATGGACCATGTGGAAAGTCGATATGGTATTGTAATATCGGCTCAAATTCGAAGATTTGAGTTCTTCCTTAATGGGAATACTTATGATTCACGGCTGTTATCAGCAGGTCTTGATAATACCTTTTATCGAGCAGGACTATTTTAATGAGAAGATAAGTACCTAGTTCATAGCATCGAACGCTCAATCAGGAGAACATACTAGGCTATGATTCTGCGGTGTTAATGTGTATAAGTGATAGTAGCCGTAAAGGATAAAAGGGTAAAGCTCTAGGTGTTGATCTATCCCTGAGGGATGTCCCATGCATTCGACTTCATTAAGCATAGTTTGGAGGTGACAGAATGCATATCTGACCTTTACAATGACTCGCAGTGGCCTGCCGATGTATCGAGCCAGTGCCACTATCTTCCCAGACAAGTCTGGCACTAATTTGTCGACCCCGGAGGGATGGAAGGCTTGGTGGGCCATGGGCACGCAGATCAATTGCACGTGTGTGTTGCAGGGCACCACCGACCACTGCGCCACGTGCGCCACTGTCGTAGCCATAGGAGGTCTTATTGCTTTTTGTTCTGTAGGTGTTCGTTAAAGCTGCAAACGAATTTTCGTTAGGGTTAGCTAAGGCATCACGGTGAATGTAGTTGTTTTCCTAGCATTGTGAAGGATCCGATCTTGGAAATGTCAAAAGAGTATGAGAAATCACCGGCAATATATATCTTTCACTGTTCAGTCTACAGGATCCATAAAGGATTAAAGTTTGATAAGACATATTTCAATACGCTTATCTGATTGCTATACATCATATCCATTTGTCAGTTATAAACGAATGTCACCGGTGGCTTTACCCAAAACACCGTGTGTGGACACTATGGTCCTATGACCAGCAACGGTGTGCACACTCTGGTGACATAGGCTGTTAAATACTTTCGTAAAATACTTTTAAATGCTGACAACAACGTATTTGCATAATAGACCATAGTAACTTGGATACTTGGGTACTTGGATGGCCCGTCCTCACTGATTGTACGGGCTCCAGCGAGATTTCTGTTTTTTGGAGTCTTCGTGGTTTAGCCATCGTGGTTCCTTGGAGTCCCGAACTCAGCCTGGCCAAAGTCTGCGTCAGATCGTCACCACACCAGGCAGTCGCCACCCTTGTGGATCACAAGGAGATTTGCCGCCATGCGACTAGTTTGATACCACGACGGTGGTGGATCCTGGTACTGGTTTACTCTTAGCTGGGTTTCCTGATTGAAACGCCGGATTCCTGAGCTTGGAAGAACCTGCTAGGGTGATGAATCCCCAGCTGTAAATCACGACCTGACACCCAGGAGAACCTCCCAGCCACAAGGAGGCCGTAAACCGTTAGGATACCGTAGTAACACGTAGTAGATAGCATACATATTGTTCATACTCATAGAACGATAATGTAAACTCTGTTCTACAGTTCTGTTATGTTAACAATCCCTAAAGCACTTTATTCATTGGAGCACTATTTTCTATTATTAAAATAAAAACCAGACATTCGATGAGCCACTCTAAGCTGCGCACATCCGTACGGGTTTACATGCTATTCTATTACTAACTCACAAGCCGGAGAGAATGTGGGCTTTGTTATAATAGACTGCAGAGACCACCCTAGCGACGGTATGTTCTCAACGTTACGCTGTTATTTCGTTTACGATTCTACACTTCCACCATTTGCCAGTCATTCCTTTCTACCAGATATTTTGTGATAATGATAACTTTTTATTTGCTGCCCACTACATTTTTTCATGGTCGGATATTATGTGAAATACAAACACAATGATTCCGAGATATCTGCAAAACTCCGGGCCGCAGATGTCTGCGGTCGGGATCGAACACTCTGATCTGTGCTCCATAGGTTAATCCCGTTGACGGGTGATTGCGGATGGCATTGGTAGATAAAAAATTAACTGAGAGACAGGCGAAGCGAAGGACCTGCATGGTGTGGTGGCGAACTCGTCAGCTCCAGGAAAGGGTTATAGCGTATGCGATTTCCACTGCAGACACCTGCCGTCCGGACTTTTGCAAATATTTCAGAGTCGTTACAGTTATTTTTTGATGTTTTGTAAAGCATTTCCGAGAGGTGCTACCAACTATTCATGTTAATCTTGTAGTGTAGATCGTTAATCTAATCCCAATGGGTGCTATAACCTACAAAGCCTAATGCAAAGATAGTGGTGAGCAACAACTAATGTTAAGTAGGTACGAACATCATAAAATGCGAATGTTGTTTTGAATATGGTGGTAGTTTGGGATTTTTAGTCCAGCTAAGGATTTGTCGCATAATATGTTCTGGGCATGTTATTTTCTGGGAACTGGTAACCCCGTGTAATCTTGCTTTGTGCTATCTCGTTGCTACTGTTCCATTTAATATGGTCGCTTAATACTTTTATTAATAACTAACTGCTTTAGGAATGAGTCGAGCGGGATTTTTCCTATTCACAAGTGTTCCACGACATGGTCTGTTATCAAAACAAAATGTTTTAAAGTAAGCGTCGTGCGATTTTCTAGATCTTGGTAGTGAATGGCAGTTGAATGGTTTTATATCAAATCTCAATAGCTTTCAGTGTTTCAGCTTTTATTTAGTACCTATTTTTCTCATGGCAGAGAATGGTGTGAAATACAACCATAAAGATATGAGCAAAACACGGAAACTTAGTTGGGATTTGAACCAGCAATTACCCTTACCGGAGGCTCACGTCTTACCGACCACCATGGAAGCTCTTGTTTTGGTCTTTTCTCAGCCAGCTTTTTCTTTACCTTAACGATGCTATCAGCAGTCGCGTGTAAACGGGAATGATCTGGGGAGCACAAATCGGCATTGGACGTAGTTATGCTGAGGCTGCCGTCTAAATCGCAATATTTTAGCTTTTAGTAACTGACCTCGGTTGGTGTGATGGATAGCACTTAAGCCCTGCGAAGGGTAATCGCGGGTTCGTAACACAACTAAAGTTCCGACTTTTACTCGTATCTCAACAATCTTATGACTGTACTATGAATTAGTTATTGTTCCAATTTCTCAAGAGATTAATCCAAAGGTGGGCTTTGTACTGTTTTGAATAGTGTGCTGTATCTCTTGGCACAATGCTTAACTCTTACCAGATATAACCTCGGGGTAAATTTTCTTCCCAGCGCTTTATTTTTGCGGACGGAACTCCTTCCTGTATTTATTATAATCGTATACCGTAATTTACCAAGAAGCACCCCCGAACTACCACTATGAAAATTGATGATCGTGGGATACAACATTGCCAGACCGCGCCACCGCTAGTCTTCATTATCGCCGTCGATGACGGACAGCCCTAAGAAGTAGAGGTCGTCACTTGTCACCGTGATTTTGGTTTACAAAATTTCAAGTTCAATCCATTAGAATTCATCCAAAATGGTAAACGGACTATGCAATAGTTATGAGGATTTACTGTTACTTTGGTTTTTTCTCACCAATGACACTAATAATAATGAGCTTCATATCAAAAATGCAATGGTGTTCATGTCCCCAAAACGGGCATAACTACTGTTCTACATGAGAAGAATGAATGGAGACTTTGATAATGCTTGTTGCAACCATTGGCAAGATTACGATCGTTGCAGATGGAAACATCTATTGGTCATCTATTGTGTTATGTATTCTTTTGCATTTACATAGTATAGTCGGTATAAATATGTCGCTATGATTTCACTCAACGTCTAGGTTTGGTGATGGATGCCAATAAATATCTTTTTTGTTTTACCTTACGTGCCCGCTGCCGTACTTCTTAGCTCCGTTTTCACATTGTGCTATTTTAGAGTCGTTTAGTGTCTTCATTTTGATGCCTCCTTCAAAAATCTCTCGAGAAGATGTTCTTAAATACGATACGTTTCTTTTTGACGCTGACGGCGTTCTCTGGACTGGCGATATTCCCATTTCGGGAGCCATAGATTTCGTTGCTACTCTTTTTCGAGCAGGCAAATCCGTCTTTATTATAAGCAACAACTCGACGAAAACCTTAGATCAGTACGTGGAAAAAGTTGCAAAAATGGGATTTGAAGGATTCTCTAAGAAAAACATCATAACTCCAGCAATCGTTTTGTCTGTATATTTGCGGGACCGACCGGAATATGCAGGACAACCGGTTTATCTCTTGGGAATGGAAAATCTAGAAAGGGCATTGGAAAGTGTGGCAGGAGTGCATTGTATTGGTGTTGGACCTGACCATTTCGTGGATCATTCATCTTCCGACTTCATCTTCAACCTAGATTTGTCACTTATGCCAAAGGCAGTTATATGCAGCTATGACGCGCATCTCAGCTATCCAAAAATTATGAAGGCTGCAAATTTTTTGAAGCGGAATGGAGTTGAATTCTTTGCAACGAATGAAGATTACACATTTCCTGGACCAAATCCGGATATTGTTATTCCTGGTGCCGGTTGCACATCTGCCGCAGTTCGAGCAGTGTCCGGTCGTACTCCGATCGTTTTCGGCAAACCACATAAGCCCATAGCGGATTTTCTACGGAATCACGAACATATTGACGCCAACAAGACGATTATGTTTGGCGATCGACTTGACACCGACATCCAGTTTGCGAACGATAACGGTTTCACGAGCTGTTTAATGCTTACCGGGGTAAGCTCATTGGAAGACGTGGAAAACGCGAAGAAACGTGGAGAAACGAACCGTATCCCTAAACACGTGTTCTCTTTCCTCAGTAGTTGAATTTCTCGCTATCTCCATCCATGTCATTGCATTTGTTACCATGTATTTTCCTAGGATTTGCGTCCGTGTGATAGTAGGTTCGAGCAGTTGCTTATTGATAGGTTTCATGTTTATTCCAAATAGCCAAGTACGTGTTCTATTCTGAAGAAATGAGTGAAATAAAATTTTTTAGGTTTTCCACAACAAATTTGGCATGGAAGGATGAAGGCGGTGCAGCGGAAAAAGGGGCGGAGCCTGTAAGTAAACCGCAACAACAAGGATGGATTAGCAAACTTTTGGTACATTCTTAGTACAGTAGTTATCTGTTCCTTGTTTACCATTAATCAATTTTCTTACTTTTGTATGTCGATTCAGACTGGCCAGCAAATGAATCCTAGCGAATGGCAGAAGCAGAGTCACTCGAGCCTTCTTAGCACCTCTGAGAATATTTATGAATTTGCCAGTACGTACAGTTTTCTTTTTGGAAGCACTACCTCTTTGTTGTTGGTTTTTATGTGTGCTTCTTTTCTATAATTAAGCTCACAATTATCATCCCGGTGAGAAGGAAAGATATCTGGATACCTTTGGTAAGTACAAGCAAGAAATGAACGAGAAGGCGAGTTTTCTTTGCTATTAAATGTGTGCTTTCCAAACTATCTATAGTTCTTCAGCTTCCCTCTATTGAATTAGTCGGCTCATGGACAGTGTCCTTTGGCAGAACCAAAGATCAGGCTATACATCTTTGGCGATACACTAAAGGGTACAAGGACGTGGATAGGTTCGTCTATTTTTTTTCGGAAGGAAATGCAGTTTCTTGAACCGGTGAGGTTTTCCTGAGGACCTGAGTTGTCGTCTTATTCATAAGGAATATTTTCTTTAGAAATGACTTTATCTGTAGCAGATGGTTTAGAAATTCTCACTCATAAATAAGGATGTGGATGTAAATCCAAAGCAGTCGATATTAAATAGCATTCATAGAGGTACTTTGATTGGAAAAAGCGTTGAATACGCCTGCATGCCCGTTAGTGCCTCAGAAAAACGCTAAGGGTAGAAAGGTCTATACCAAAAGTATGATGCTCTTTATCTTCAAAACGTAAGCGAAGCCCAGAAAACAGCTGTGGCGAGCAACTGGAGCGAATAGAGACTTTGCTTCCACCGACACGTGGATGATCAACTCATCCACGAAGACGTCGAATTTTTTCGTTGTTTGTGGACTGCAGTCAACCGAATGCACTTCATCCGTCCTGTCATCTCTCAGACGTACCAGGAGAAGAGAAAGGAACTTCAAGTACATTTCTCGCGAGCAACATCTTTTTGTTATTTTGTTGGTACCAAAAGCAGTCGATTCTAGTAGGGCCGATGTATCTATATTTGTGTTGCAGAGGGATCTTAGTAACATGCTCATTTGTGGTACTCTTGCTAGACGAGAAAATCTGTAGAGAATTTCTCTATCAAATAGAGAGTTGGCTATCCACCCAACAAATATTTTCTATAATTCTTCGTATTTAATAAAGAAACCCTTCTGGCGAGGCGATAGAGGACGTGTTCTGGCAGCACCGCGGCACCACGGTGGCCTTAAAGGCATAACCAGAATTGACTAAGGGTTATGCAGTCGGGGCCCAGTTACTAAATACGCAGTATTGTAGGAAATATAACCATAATGTTGCTGAAATATTTGCAGAACTCCGGACCGCTGGTGTCTTTCCGAAGCTTTGCAAATATCTCAGCAACATTTTGCTTATATTTGACATAATACCATGTCGTTAGAAAATTGTAGGCGGTAAATTAAGAAAAATTTGAGGAAAGTGTGATTATAGAAAGTATTTGTTAGGTAGATAGAGAATTCTCTATTTGATAGAGAAATTCTCTGTAATATCTTTATACCCTACTCACCAATAATCATTTGTGTGGTTTTCCGCACAAGTTTGTCCAGGAAACTGTTCTTTATAGTTTATCAAGTGTGGAATATGGATTGTCTCGTATAGTGCAGTGGTTAGAGGTGACCTGGGATGTGGATCATCGTTGTTACAAACAAACGGTCTAAGAAAACGGAATGTGCATTAAAACTGAGCATAATCTACCGAACGTAAGCCAGTAGCCTACCACCTGGTTTATTTCAGTTTATCGCTTTTTTTGCGCAAATCGAACGTGTTATGGTGAATTAACACAAAAAATATCGCGCAATGTTAGCAAGTGTAGTGGATCACGTTTGCTGCCAAATCATCATCATTGTTTATTACTCAGTTTGCCTTCGTCACCAATACGAGGTCGATTAGTGCGCGCATTCTTTTTTTTTGGATTAATTTAACTTCCTAACTTAAGCTATAATGCAAAATTGGTTGGTTGACATGCAAATAACATCGCAAGAAGAGCACCACTCTCTTGCACGGGTTTTTTGATGGTCCAACAGCTTGTCGTAATCCGCTCCGAGTTCCAGTAACGTCAGTTATTTGACGCTGAAAAACCGTATGTTCTAATATCGAAAATGAGAACTATAACTTCAGTGATGCTGAGATATTTGCGAAACTCCAGACCGCAGGTGTGTGCAGTGGGGAACGAACGCGCTATTGTCCTTTCCGGGGAGTAACGCGTTCACCACCACACCGTACGGGTCCTTCGTTTTGCATCGCTCTCAACTAGTTCTATCGATCTTTGCCACCACAATTACTGGGGCCCAAATCGGCAACGAACCCAGTTAAGCTGAGGCTGTAGTTATAATCACAATTTCAACTTACTATTTACTGCCTACTCTTTTTTAATGGCGGGGTGTATTGCGAAATATAACTTCAATGATGCTGAGATATTTGCAATAGAGTAGGCAGTAAATGATAAGTTGAAATTAGAATGAGAACCTTGCATGAGCATAAGAACTGAACCGTTTGCACTATTATTTGACCATCACGCAATTGCCGAGCCAAAAACTACTGATCGAACTGAAAGCCAAGTCGGCATGTCGTACGACATTCGCAACAATGAGCATTGGTTTCAGCGCACGCTGAAGAATTGAAAAATTAGCTGTCGTTTTTTGATATATTTTCTTGTGCCGTTTTCCACACACACGTGTCTCATTCCATTCATCTCTTCGCATCATTAGTAGTCTTCCAACCGTGTGAATCCGGCTGTTGTTCGAAGATTTACGTCTTCTTCATGAATGTCGTTGAATGTTGATTTAGTTGATTCTTCTTACAGTCCTGGGATAGCGGCTAGAGGGTGTTCTCGCGTGAACTGGAGGGGTGAGCCAGCCCTGAACAAGTCTGGTGTAAATCTGCCGACCCTTGAGGAATTTGAAGCTTGGTGAACTCTGTGTGGTGTTGAACCAGTACCGTGCTCGTGGTGAAGAGCATCGCTACTACTGCGCTGCCTACGCTTTTTTGCGTATATGTAAATATGTATGCACATATATATATGTGCACGTACATATACATTATACATACGTATATATATGTATATATGTACAAGTATATATATGTATATACATAACTTTGGCGTCGAAAACGACGGAATTAAAGGACATCGTGCGAGAAATGCGTTGCTGTTAATATTAGCGAGCGAGTAGAGCGCTTTAATGGACAGCTGTGACGTGAGATGAGGGCGATTAGAGGCTTTACAGTTGTGAAGAGGATATTTTCTGTTTGTAGACCTCCTTTTGGAAAACATTTTTATCGGTGCGTGTTAACCTGAATATTTATATGGTGTCCGGAAATATTTGCGCCTTTTAAGGCCGACGTATAGCACTCGATACACATTGATTTCGATGCGGTTGGCGCGGAATGAATGGCTACTTTCAAGTTTAAGTCAAGTTATCATCGCTCATAGTGGACTTTATTAATTGAAATACGTCTCCCTAGTAATCAAGTCTTCCCTATTACACCATGGTTAAAATTTTTATCAAAGCTGTCTTTACGAACAAAAAAGTTTGCGTTTGTCTCCAGTCTTAGTGAATTTATTTGCTTAGTATTACTTATTACCCTCATTATTTATTATTTAATATTTAAAGGAAGTAAAATCTATAGATATTTGTGGGTGTATGATGTGGGAATGTGTGGCGCAGTGGTCGGAGACGTCCTGCAATACACATACGGAATCGGTCTCCGTGCTTATGGCCCACCAAGCCTTCCATCCCTCCTGGGTCGGCAAACTGATACCGGACTTGTCTGGGAGTATATCAGCACTGGCTCGATACATCTATAGGCCAAGGTTAGTATTGTAAAGGCCAGATATACATTTAATCGCATCTAAACGATGCTTAATGAAGTCGACTGCATGGCAGATCTTTGAGAGATTGATCAACGCTATAAGCTTTTCTTTTATTTATAGATATTTGCCAAGAGAAACAGAAATTTTGGGGTTGAAACTGATTTTCTGGAACTCAATAACATATTTCTACTTTATTCTTCTTCGTTATAGTTCGTTTTTAAAATAGAGATTTGCTTGATACTTGAATGGCCCGTACTCAATGGTTGTGTGGGGTCCATCATAATCTCCATTTTTCGGGGATTAGCTGGTTAATCCATTGAGGTACCCTGGAATCCCGAGGTCAGCCTGGCAAAAGCCTGCCCTAATTTATCACCACCACGGGCAGTCGCAGTCCTTGTGAATCAGGGAGGCCACCATGCGGCTTTGATACCAGGATGGTGGTGGGTCCTGATATTGGTTTACTCTTAGCTAAGCTTCATGATAGAAACGCCGGACTCCTTCTCATCTTGGGAGACCCTGCCAGGGGATGAATCTCCCGCTGTACATCGCAGTCCGACACCCAGGTTCACCTCCCAGTTGCAGTGAGGCGGTAAACCCCTAGGGGTTAAAATGGAGACACGGTTGAGTAATCTGAATTTTTCCTATTAGTACACTAGTTGTCTCATTGCGTCTCTGAATGCTTGTGACTGTCCTCCTTGTGCTAAAAACTTCCAATTCTTTTTTCGAAAATCTGTCTTTTAAAACGAATCTATGTTTTAGGAAGGACACCAGTATTTAAAAATTTACCTACTGTGTTGTGGTGGTAGAGCAAAATCTCTTATTTCAATATATCAAGTTCGGAATTCTTTAACTTTTCTAGTTATCTCGGAATTATCGACATTTGTCGTGAAACTAACATTGTTAAGAATGTTATACCTTTTTATCTTCTGCCTATTATAATTTTGCGGCAGGGTACTAAGCGAAATAGAACCACAACGTTGCTGAGATATTTGCAAAACTCTGGACCGCAGGTGTCTATGGTGGGGAACGAACGCGCTATTGTCCTTTCCGGGGAGTAACGCGTTCACCACCATACCATGCGGGTCCTTCGTTTCGCCTGTCTCTCAGCTGTTTCTGAAAAGAACTGACTGAAAGGCACTGAACTGAAAAAGCAAAAGAACTGACCCGCACGGCATGGTGGTGAACGCGTTACTCCCCGGAAAGGACAATAGCGCGTTCGTTCCCCACCATAGACACCTGCGGTCCAGAGTTTTGCAAATATCTCAGCATCGTTGTGATTGTTAAGAATGTATTAACAAGCTTTTTGTTTGTGATCGTCTAACTTTCTTTGGTCTAGTACGTGAAAAAAAGGCCTACGCATTTTGTTGGAGGGCCAGCATGTACTTTGTGGTTATTGGACGAGTCTTTCTCACATGGATTCAATATGAAAATTACATGGTCGTGAAGTTAACCATCGTCTCATTTTGACTTGCACTGATCCATTTTGATATATCCAGTAACACTGTGGATTAACGCTACTTTAAGTTTTAACAATGGTTTTATTTAAGGATAAAAGCTCTTAGGTATTATCTTGGTGATTCTATAGCTCATCGTGCCATATAATTCGTTGTTTGTTAAAAGGTGATCATTCATTTGTAAAGTTAGAGTAACTACTTTGTTTTCTAAAGGGAATAAGTACTTTATGTTCTGAAAAGAATAACTACTCTACTTTTTAACGGTAGTAACTACTTTGCGTTCTTAAGTTATGTGTACAAATCTATAATGTTCGTATAATAAATTCCAATCTGGTGAATTGTCCCTTAAGGAACTTTCATCAAATTAATATGCATTTATCACCGTCACTCAGAGTACACGATCAATCTGCAGACCAAATCTAGTGTTTATCGTGGTGTTGGGAGCTATGTTCATCTGTTCTTGATGAGTCAATACGAAGTGCTGTTAGCGACACCTTTATTTTATTTTGGTTAAACCTTAGATAGATTTCGTTCTTGCCTTCTTATTTTCTGTAAAGATCATACTGATATGCAACTCATTGGTCTTGTTATTCTCATGTCCCTTCTAGAGTACTGGATTTAATTTTTGACGTCTCTGCATACATGAACGGTAGCAATAAATCAATAAGTCGTTTTGAAGTAGAGGCCGTGAAAATCTCATCTTATTGCAGGAGTTAACTGTAGAAATAATATGAAGATCGTAAAGACAGCCAATTCTTTCAATCCATTTCGAGAAGCATGTGACTCTAGCATGAAGTGTTCTTGGCCTACGTGATGTCGTATAGCTGTTCATAAATGGGTATGTTCGGAGTTGATTTTTGATAAATCAGCACTTCATCTCTTCTTCTTTGACATATCCATGAGAGCAAGTTTAAGAATTAGGCGTTGGACAGCTTGGAAGTGAGCTTATCTGGTCGTTGAACTCTCTTTACAACACTCACGACCGACTTTCTATTAAACTCGGCATTGATCAAGTAATTTTTCGTATTCTTGTTGAGCAAACGCGAGGTGTTATTTTAATTCGTTATTCACGAATAAGCTGACGTTTCGGCGGATTTCGTCTTCCTCAGAGCCTGTAAAGGTCAAGTTGACAGCAATCTATTCGACCAAGAACCTCCATAACCAAACAAAGGAACTCTAAACCAAGATTTCAATCACATTAGACACAGCTTTGCACACTTACCGCTTTCTATGAGGCTTCCACTGAGTATGTCGCGTGAAGGCCAACCGCACAGAATTCACGTGGAATCGTAATGTGCCCCTCCCATTAGAATAACAGGTTTATATACTGCCCAATATCATGCGTGATAATGAGGCATTCTCCCCTGCAGTTCATTTTGGGATTTCTGGAATTAATCAAGAACGCCTCGAGAGTTTTGCGCACTTGTGTTCTCGATTCTTGTGCGAGTGTCGTAACCCCCTACTTCAAAATCTTCTCCATTATGTCTCTGCGTCCTATGCGTGCCTAGTGGAGTATTTGGTTTACCTTTGTCCGCTAGGTGTTCTTTTATGCGGACACAGAGTGTTTCGCCAATGCATTCATCTCCGTACGCCTTGCAGGGGATCAGATAAACTGTACCTGAACTCATGCAGTCACCGTCTCTATCATTTGGGCAAATTATGTAATTTTGCGTTGCAAATAGACGGTCGTATAGGCGGTTACGAACTAACTGGCTTCTTAGATTACTCGGTGGATTTCCTCTACACCTATCTCGAGCTGCAGTTTCGTAGCAATTAAGAATGGCTATTAGCCGGGCCAAGTTCCGGGAATCCTCTCTATGCTCTCTTCCCGTGCATACGTTGGTAGCTGTTCGAAACATGTTTCTCACAAGCGCCATTTTGGTGTGAGAGGGGTGAGAGGAGAGGTAATGTACCAAGATGTTTTTACTGCTTGGTTTTCGGTACCACTTCGTAATGTAGCCATTTTCTAACAGCTTAATTTGGACGTTCCTGTCAGAAAGAAGACAATAGATAAATAATAATAATAATAATAGTAATTTTAATAGTTGTATTTTTTAATTTTATTTACGTATTCGTATACATTGGGGAAACGGGTAGATACCTCTGTGTCCGCATAAAAGAACACCTAGCCGCCAAACGTAAACCAAATACCCCAGTAGGCACGCATGGGACCCAGAGATATAATGTGGAGGACTTTGAAGTATGTGTCACGATCCTCGCACACGAATCAAGAACACGAGCGCGCAAAACTCTCGAGGCGTTCTGGATTAATTCCAGAAATCCCAAAATGAACCGCAGGGAAGAATGCACGCATGATATTGGGCAGTATATAAACCTGTTATTCTGATGGGAGGGTACATTACGCTTCCGTGTGAGTTGTGTGCGGTTGGTCTTCACGCGACATACTCAGTGGAAGCCGCATAGAAAGCGGTGAGTGTGCACACTTATGTTTAATGTGATTGAAATCTTGGTTTAGCGTTTTCTTTTTTTGGTTATGGAGGTGTTTGGCCGAATAGATTGCTGTCAACTTGACCTTTCCTGGCTCTGAGGAAGGCGAAATCCGCCGAAACGTCAGCTTATTCGTGAATAACGAATTATAATAACACCTGGCGTTTGCTCAACAAGAATATGAAGTTTCTCCTTACAACCATTTTTCGTAACTGCTACGCCATTTGCTATGTTGATTCTAACCTTGAATTAAGAGATCAGTTTTGTCTATGGTATCGGTCATGTTAACTCCAGTAAAGATGAAGGTAACCAATTCCTGTGTTTCATGCACGTTGTGTGTGCTATTACTGTACTCGAAATGTAAGGTCCTTTATTATGAGTTTTATGAGATTAATGATCAGGGATCTTTCCATATATTCGGAGTGTTACGAAGAATATGTCCCAGAACACCTAATCGAATCTTACAGTTATTTGAGCTTGTAGTATCTGATCGTTGCAAATGTATTAATAGTATGGGGCAAGTGTTCGCAAGCCATTTTAGGTATTAAATCTTAGTTATTTTCCCAGTCAAATGCGCGATTGACGGAAAATTATATGCTTCTTGAAGATTGTTTTTAAGAGGTTTGTAGGAAATTTGTTATTTTTAATGAAATTGTCAAAGAAACAATTCTATTATGCGTTTGTTGGAGTGCTCGAAAGGGTGGCTTACCAGAGAGAAGGAAGCCCTGTTTAATTTAGTTACTGTGCTGTAATCAATAGATTTTGTGATTCCAAACGTCGTTATCTCTACTTTTTCTTATGTAACAGTTTTATGTATCTCTCGACGAAAAATAAAGGTTAATTGGAAATTCGTTTAAAAATCATCATAGGAAGGTCGGTATGTGTTTTTTGAAAAACACCATTTCCTATTATGACTACATTTCTATTTCAACAGCTTCTACCGTAGCTACTACTTTCTTCAAAATTTTAGTGAAAAATTCCAGTGCGATAGACATACACACTTCGAATGCCGCCGTATGCAGAGCTGACTCAGAGGTCGCGAAACTTTGCAGTCGTCGGAAAAATGTGATTGTGAAATCCTTCAGTTACTGGCGTGAGCCAGAACAACGACCTCCGTCACATGTTTACGATTTGCGTAATTACGTACTCAAAGTGGGTTGTTAAAGTGTTATTTTCCCCAGCATTCATCATTCAGTTTACAATAATCTCAAAAAAATATCACTTATCGGCATTCAAGCAACGAGGGCAGACTGTGTTGCTGTGCATACCAATTTGTTTTTCCATGATTCATTGTGCGACCAAATGCACTAAAATTGTACTTACTCGGATACTTGAGTGGTCCGTCTTCATTGGTTGTGCGGGCCCCAGCACAGTTTCCATTTTTTCGGAGTTTTGCAAGTTTAGCCATTGTGGTTCCCTGGAGCCCGAGGTCATTGTAGGCAAAGTCTGCCCAAGGTCGTCATCACCACAGCACTCGCTGCGCTTGGGGATCACAAGGAGATTTGACACCATGCTAATAGTTTAGTACCAGGAAGGTGGTGAATCCTAGTATTGGTTTACTCTTAGCTAGGGTTCCTAATGGAAACGCCGGACTTCTCAGCTTGGGAGGTCCTGCTAGAAGGTTGAATCCCTTCCACTGTACATCACAACCGAACACCTAGAAACATCTCCCAACCACGATGATGGTAATGCGTTTGGGAGGCACTAAAATCATACCTTATTAAAACTTTTGAGGAAATACCATTGCATTTTCAACTAGTAATACATTTTCTAGAGTCTAGACTTTCTATTTAGCCAGGTACTATGATCGAATGGGGAAATGCATGGGCAAAAGGTATAACGTTTCGGCGTGATGCTAACCAAGACGTTGGAGGGTTTTTTGCTCAAGTATGTCTAGTTATTTTTCTGTTTTATCGTTGGTTTTCCTCAATCAACTATGGAATATGAGGAGGGTAACCTTTTTAGGTTGGACAGTTATACATTGTCTACCATATTTGGGCATATCCATCTATGTGTGCTCGAAACGAAACGCGACATGCAACATGGGCAAAGCCTGGTTGGGATGCCACTGTAGCATATACAGGTGCGTTTCTTATCCCATTCGATTGCTTTTGTTTCTTTCGTTTTCTTTCCTTGATCAGCCATGTTTATTTCGATTTTATAAAAGTGTTTACGGCAAACATGACATGGAGCCACTTCGTAGTTGTTTTTATACCAATGAAACATTATCAAAGGGCATATTCTGGTGCATATTTTGTGATCGATTGTTCCTGAATCGGGGTTTGTCTGAATAGGAATAGACGATTTCTTGGGTAAATATTGGATTATATTGGTGTTAAATTTAATCCTGTGTTACTGGAAAAATTCACTTGCTTCTTTAATTAATTAATTATTATACTCTATTAGTGGTAACCAAAAAGGCGCGTGTAGCGCAGTGGTCGGAGGTGCCCCGCAGTACACATGGGATCGATCTCCGCACCCCAGGCCAACCAAGCCCCCCCATCCTCCGGAGTCGGCAAATTGGTACTGGACCTGTCTGGCAGGTTAGCAGCACTGGTTTGATGCATCGGTTGTCCTCTACGAGTCATTGTATCATCTGTATCACCTGTAGTCCCGTTGATCGCCGAGTGACTCGAGCAGGAACCAGTAAACTTTCCATTTTTCCCTGTGGCGCGCAAGAGTAGCCCAGTCGGTTCTGCTCGCTCTAGGGATTCGTCGAGTATCATATCTTTCTTCTAGGCTTTTCGTGAAGAACTCTGACCATCGCGACATCCCGAGGAATCCAATCACTAACGGTTCTTGTCCATCGGTTGTCATTCATATGCATTACGTGTCCGGTCCACCTTATCTTCGACTGTTTGCCGTACAGAACGGCATCATTGATTTGTGATCGTTGACACGGATCGGAGCTTCGGATCCGAGCTCTTACTTGTGTGGAACGGGATACTCCTAGCATCGTCCTTTCGACAGCGCATTCAATAATGCTAAGTGATCCTTCATCCTGCGTACGCAGCGACCAGATTTCTGACGCATACATTAGGGCAAGAAGTACCGTTGAGTGGAAAAGGTGGGCACGGTGTCGGGTGTTCTTTGTCCTGAGTTTGTCACGAGTCAATGTACACGCCAGATATGCATTCAGTCACCGTCAACGAAACTTAATGAAATCGATTGCACGGGGCATCCCTCAGGGATTAATCAACGCCGAGAGCTTTAGACCTTTAATGCCGGGTGTTTGTAACAGATTTGTTTCTCTTTAAAATAGAAACTCGCATGGAAAATGGTTGAGTGCCTGTGTGAGAATTCGTCATTTCTTTTAATATGGGTTATTTTTTAGTCCCACTCATCAAGAAAATGCAGTCGAAAATACTCACTCCCACAAAGTATTCACAACTGCAGTGATGCTTGTTGGAGGCCCGAAAACAATGAATTTTCTCAAATTTTTTCTCGAATGTCGTCAGGCTCAGTGATATTGATGGTCTGTTGGTCTGTTTGCTTTTGCGGAAGTTTTAATTAGGCGGTAATATGCGATGTATTTGAGCTACTTCTGTAATTATTCCAAGGTAAGTAGGTGTTTTAATGTAACTTAATATTTGTGAATTTATTACGTAATGTATAATTGACGAGAGTACGTCAATGTATTTATTGTTTTTGTCGGATAAATTTTCGTACAGCTGTTTTTTCTTTTCTCTTGAACGTGTTTAATTCAGAAGTCTATTTGCTTGCTAAACAGAAAGATGTGCGGAAATGATCATTCCTCGTTTTCCGATTTGTCCATATTTTCTCCCACTAAACTTGTTTTTCTAGTTTTAATCTACCAGTACAGCTATGTAAATTAGGCCATTTCTGTTGGCGTATAGAAGTCAAACTCTTTACATCTACAATAAGAGCTGTGTCGCATCGCACGTTTATCTGCTGTATCTTCTTATTTTATCTTCTGCATCTTATTTTCTTCTGTATCAAATGTCCCATGCTTAATGCTTACGCTTAATTGGTCTTGATCGTGAATTCTTGCCGTTGTGTGGTTACATAGCGGTAAAGACATTGTTTCAGGTGTTTTTCTTGCCTCTAACTCTAGAGTTACACTTATTATACTGTTAACTTGTCGTATTCATTCAACGATCTGGGATCAGTCCAAAAATATGGCTGGAGTACCTCGTTCTTTTCAGATTCTTAATCAAATATGGCGAATCCGTTCGATGATGACTACAAGAGTAGCAGCGCCACGTTTAACAGTTAGTTTCTAATCATTTACATTTTCGACCAAAGTTGACTGCAATGTTAACCTTTTATCTGCTACCTTTTATAATTTTTCACGAGCGGGTTTGATGTGAAATAGAACCATAATGATGCTGAGATGTTCGCAAAACTTCCATCCGGGCCAGATCGAACCATTATTATTGTAAGCAGCAAATAAAAGGTTAACATTGTGATTTCGACGACAGTCTCAGCATAACTGAGTTCAATGCAGATTTATATTCTCCAGGTCAATCCCACTCATGGGTGATTGCTGATGGGATCGTTAGGTTGAAAACTAGGTGAGAGAAACGCAAAGCAAGGGCCTCAGTGGTGCAGTATGTAATGCGTGAGCCGCCGGATAGGGAAATCTTTGTTCAATCCGGCCCGGCGTTCAAGTTTTCTGAATATCTCGGCATCGTTATCGTTGACTATAATGTTCCGGATCTTTGTGATATTATTTCAGCTAAATTGAAAAGTTATACGATGGGAACCGATAACATTGAGGATGAGGCAGATTTCTATGAGCGGGAGATTGAGAAGTATATGCAGGAATCACTTGATAGCACCGAGCGATCGAGGCGTCATTTAGAGAATTCCGAAAAAATTGGTGCTCAGACAGCTCAGGTTTGTTTCTTCGTGTTCTTTTGTTAGTGAGTATTTCGCAGAGAGTTTTTCTCTCCCAAGCTTGTTGAGAACGCGATATTGTCTCATCTAACTTCAATACTGTCTTTTGTTACTTCTATGTTTCAAACTGGTTGAAGTTTTGGGTCTACTTAAGTTAGTGGACACGTGTACCTTTCTGTCAGAATAGTTCTATTCTTCATTTCTGTTTCCAGCTTTCTATAACTGAGCCACCAAGCGCCGTCTCTTTGTAGGTAAAGACGGAATATTTCAATAGAAGAGGCCTTTTAAGAATATATGCGTTATGAAATAAGCCTTAGCCTCATTTTGAAATATACAGGATTTGTTGGAACAACGTGAGAAGCTGGAGAAAACTGAGCGTAATCTAGACGAAATTCACAAAACAACCCAGGTGAGTTTTCCTTCGTAACGTTTAGTTTCATAAGTTTTATGATTGAAAACCTCACAGTTTTCTTTTACAGATTACCCAGCGTAACCTGAATAGTTTGAAGTCCGTTTTCGGAGGTTTTTTCAAGAATAAATTCAGTCGGAAACCTGAAGACACTCCTGAGGTTAGCGCAAATGTATTGCTGTTTATGAACTATCAGCATGATGAGCTTTTAAAGTGTTTTGGACTGCATTGGTTAAAGTTCACAGTCTAGTTCTTCGGGAATTTAAAGTCATCAAGTTCAATAATTGCCTTAGTTCCGGTTATTTTTTGACTGATTATTGTATATTGGAAAACAGATCCCGCAGTCAAAATCAGCTTCTCGATTGGGTGACACTGTCAACGAAATTACTAAATCTGGAGGCTCATTTTCTTCCTTGTCTGGATCAGTTGGTGCACCATCTACACTTGGCGAATCAAGTCGAAATGCCATCAGAGGGACGCGATGGGAGGCGATGGATAATCAGATAGATGAAAATCTCGGTGGGCTGTAATCAGTACTCACCTGTTCGCACTATTTAGCAAATAATTTTTCCGTGAAAAGCTACTGAAATGTCGTTTAAGATGCCATGTCGAATAATCTTCGCAATCTACAACGCCTTGGACTTGAACTTGGACGGGAGGTGGATGAGCAGAATCAGATGCTGGACCGCATTCACTCGAAAGCAGTTCGCAATGAAGCTGTAGTGCGAGTGCAAGACAAACAGGTTATTTTTTGGAAAAATTTGAACATTGTTATTAAACAATTACCTATTTATGGTTAGCATTTTAATATATTTGTTTGTTTTGGTTCTTAAATGCCAAAACTCTTGCAGATGCAGAAAATATTAGGATCTGAAGCAAAGTCTGCAGAAACCTCTTCAATAAGTCCAAAGTAAGTATACTTATTTTATTTTCTACTTTTTTCGTTTTACTATACTACTCCGTCAAGGGCGTGTGTGGCGTAGTTGTTGGAGGCTCCACTGTGACACATACGCGGAATCGATCCTAACGCTCATGGCCTACCAAGTCTTGCATCCTCCGGGGTCGGCAAATTGGTAGCAGACTTATCAGGGAGGATAGCAGCACTGGCTCGATACATAGTAGGCCACCGTGAGTCATTGTAAAGGCCAGGTATTCATCAGTCACCTCCAAACGATGCTTCATGAAGTCGAATGCATGACAGATCTCTCAGGGATTGATCAACTACCGAGAGCTTTATCCTTTATCCTTTATACTACCCCGTCTGGAAGAAATTGTGTGATGTTTTATATTTTTTCTATGTTTTGAGCAAATTGGTTGTTAGGTATGGGCACGGAGGCTTCTGTTTTGATTTGTTTTGCATGTTTGACAAATTAGTTTGTTCAGCGTTGCAATAGATTCTTTCATTGGTTAGTGAAACTGGACGGAAGTTTTACAGTATTGCGTTATTGGTTATAGTGAAGAAGTGTGATTTACTTCAGTCACACATTGAAAACAAAGTGAAGCAGAAATACGAGATGTCTTTCACAGAGATAGGATAATAGATGAAGAGGCTAACTCTGTTGTTTGATACTTGGATAGTTTGATGGCCTGTCCTCACTGGTTGTGCGGGCTCCAGCACAATCGCCATTTATCGGAGATTTGCTGGTTTAGCCATTGTGCTCGTTGGAATCTCGAGTTCAGATTGGCCAAGGCCGCAGCTCTTAAGGATCAGAGGGAGATTTGCCACCATGCGACTATTTGATACCAGTATGATGGTGGATCTTGGTATTCGTTTTCTCTTAGCTAGGCTTCCTGATAGAAACGCCGGACTCCTTTTTAGCTTGGGAGACCCTGCTAGGGAATGAATCACTCCGCTGTATATCGCACTCTGACAACAGGGAACACCTCCCAGCCACGATGAGGCAGTAAACCATTGGGAGGCTGTTATTTGATAGTGGCTATTAGTTGAAACGTATTGTTCAAGAATTGTATCGCTGTGAAACGACAGTGTTTTTCATCATAATAACAATTTTTACCGAAGATGGAATATTCAGACAGAAGAAATGCTATCTGTTTTAGTCTGGATCAATCAACGAAGATGTCACTTGCAATGAAGGCAACAAGTATTTTTCGCTGAGCAACTTTCACTTAGTTGCTCAAGCTGAAGAAGCTTTTTTCATCTCGTATTTGTCCACTACCTTTTCGCACATTTAGTGAGCCGGTCATGTATAATTTTAAATTATGCTGTGATAATTAGTTCTTAATTTTCTAACATTCGTCTTGATATCTGTCTTTTAACCATCGACACGAGCAGTACACCGTGTCAGCTTTCCTGTAATTTTAACTAATAACAGAATTACGCTACTTAGAGAAAGGCTGGATTGGGTTCTTGATACTTTTTGTCTTTGAATATGATATTTGCATCATATCCCAAGTATAGAAATAAATAGATGTGATAGTAAATGACGTCTTTGTCATTGAATTCATCATCCCTATGTTTTTCTCCGTGAGTCTCCTTGCAAAGTTTATTTCGATGATGAAATTAAACCACAATTTATTCTAAAAAAGAGTCGCAGCTCCTATTTCAGACACTTCACATTTGGTAGTCTATACTGTAGTCGCTTCAGTACACTTTAGAATTTAGCTCTCTGGATTTTTTTGAGCTTGACTTCGATCACCTCTGGTCGATGCCGAATTGCACAATCGGTTTAGTTAGACTTTTCACTAGTCTAATTTAGACCAGTTCTTCACATTCTTTGTGAATTGTTGTGATGCCGAATCATATATCTACTAGTTCCACTCGGTAAAATTTCTTTGTTCTGCAGTAATAAGAGAAGCAGTCCAAAAGCAGATAGGCTGAGCAAATCACCTTTCTTGACTGAGTACAAATGAAGAGTAAAGTGGAAAAAAAGAATCTACACAAACAATAGTTTTTTTCTGGCACACAGGAGAATATATCGTTTGTGAAATGTAGGAAATAGGCAACAGCGCTGCATTTAAGATGATATTTCTTTTAGACAGAAACTGAAGGGAAAGTAGAAGCTGAATAGACGATTAGTTATTATATCACCGTGTGGAAAATATAGGAGGTCTGTATCATGGTAGGTGAATTTGGCTCGATTGTTCGTTCGCCGCTATTCAGCGCCTGCGATCCAGTTCTTGTTCTCGTTTGTAGCTGAACTCTTGAGACGCCTCACTGAAAACATTGAAATGAATCTTCCAAGTTACCGACTGCGAACTTTAAATATTGGAGCAGATATGCAGAGAGCAAGAGAGCTCCAAAAGATTGAAGATGATTAGATGTTGAAGATTCAGATCTCAGAACTAAATTGGTTGTGAAATACAACTACGATGATGTTGAGATATTTGCAAAACTTCGGAACATAGGTGTCTGCGGCGTGGATTGAGCCTCGCTATTACGCTTTCTGCGAGTTAACATCCTCACCACCACACCATGTGTGTCCATTTCGTCTTTCTCACAACCGTGTTTTACAGAGGCTGTCAGCAGTTATCTGTCAACGGGATTCAGAGAGGACAATTCAGCATTGGACCCAGTTAAGCTGAAGCTGTAGTATAAATCACAATGTAATCTCCTTTCGTTTACTGCTTATTCTTCTTTCACGCCTGGTATCTGGTGATCCCACCACAGGTACATGCGGTCCGGAGTTTTGCAAGTATCTCAGCATTAGTGTAGTTGTAAATTTGTAAATATTTTACATCGTACCCTGCCATGAAAAAGAATAAGCGGTGAATAAAAAAATGGTTAAATTGGTCATCTAATATGACCTTGTCCCTTCGTTTCGTATGAGAATTAGCATTAAGCTGGAAATCACCAAGGATACAGACGTGAGTCATGAAAAGACTGGATTGCTTCTCATGATTCAGATCTAGTTTTCTTTTCGACTATTTTTCTTTGACTAAGAACGAAGAAAGGTGCGTGTGGCGCAGTGGTCGGTGGCGCCCTGCAACACACATGTAGAATCGATTCCCGCGCCCATGGCCCACAAGACCTTCCATCCCTCCGGAGTGGGCAGATTGGTACCAGACTTGTCTGGGAGGATAGCAGCACTAGCTCAACACAATTGGTAGGCCACCGCGAATCATGGTTCATTGTTCTAAAAACCAGATAGAATTCAATCACCTCCAAACCATCCTTAATTAAGTCGAATACATGGCACGTGCCTTAGGGATTGATCAACGCCGAGAGCTTCAATTTTTTTTCACAAAATTAGGAATAGGCAGGTTAGTATATTTCATGGTAGAAGTCGAAGATTCGCATGTTGCATGGATTGACGACGTAGAACTTGTTCCAAATTCTGCGTTGATAGTGACCGCTTTGTTCACATTTATTTCCAACGGCTGATTTTCAAAAACAATTCAAAAAGTGAAGTACTACGAGAGAAGACCTGCTTTTCCGATTAGTCCTAACATAACTACAATGCAGGTTAATATTCTGCCGATGAAGTTACTTCTACGGAATACAGTTGGTGACGAACGTGGTTCTGAGTCATATTGCAGCTGATATTCCGTTTCATTAAGTTCGAGTTCTAGATCGCCTTGCCCACTTGGTCCTAAGGATTCAAGAAGTGATGGACGAGAGGCCTATGAAGCTCATAGGTTACCTAACTTGCTCGCTTCCTGTCGTTGAACATTAGATTTACTTCACTAGTTATTTATTTATGTCAATTCGCTGGCAAGAAATGGACATATAACATCATTATCCGTTCATTTGTGAGTTTTGTTCTGACCCGTTGTAGAACCATTTGTCATGTCAATGACGTCATTTCGAGATCAGATACTGCAAAGTTGCTTTAAACTCTTGGAAAAACCTAATGCACCGGGTTCATGTTCAGTTCCAAGTGCCATAGAGTGCTTCTATTCCGAGCACTTCGCTGATGTATTCAATCATTATTGCTCTCAGTAGTAAGTCAGTGATGAATGTTTTCGATAGAGAATCGCAGGCGTTAAAAGTACAGATTGTTATTTTGATCTTTCCTAGAAGTCCTTGCTGTCTCTAAAGTTCTTCTCCATACTCTGTTGGCTAGCGTTTTGCATTACTCGGGTTCAAATGAGTTCAGCGCTTTCTATACCTCAATATGTCCAATTGCCTCCACGTATAGCTTGTAAGGTTTAATTGTAACTATTTCTTACTAGCGATCTTTCACTACCTCTTGTTTCGGACTGGTTAAAATGCGATGATGCTTTCAGGATAATCGGAATAATCTCCATTGGAATAAAGATCATCAATCATACATGCTCAAGGGTAACAGCGAGGTTCGATCCCCGCCCGAGACACCTGTGGACCGCAGTTTTTCAAATATCTCAGCATCATTGTAGTTCTATTTCACATCATACCCTGCCATGGAAAAGAATAGGCAGTAAAGAAAAAATGGCTATATAATGCGTTATTTGGGCAACGTTTCTCAGGTTTTGCAAACAAACATAAAGATCATAAGCTAAACACGCTCATCTTCAAATAGAAATCAACCGGGGCAACAGTTTCAGACCCTGTTAACGCAAAAATGCTGCTGATCTGTTACGTTTCCTCGTGTGAGAAAGAATTAGATTCGGAAATTTTAGTTCTTTAAGAATGTTTAAGAAATGTCAACGATAGCCTTCTAATCGTTAGCTTTCAAGAGCAGTTTCCGGTTTTCTGTTCCTTCGTTATTCTCCATTTTAGCTTTATGCCTACCTATAATCTACAGGCAGACCGTCTTTTCCAATGCGTCTGCCGGTGTTGGCTCGATGGTCTCTGTGGTATGTCTCATACCCTCCCGGAATTTGCTCCGTTCGGTGATCTGTTTCGTGCCTGAATTGTATATTTGTTTACAAAAACTTCGTATTTACACCGTAAAATAGGAAGCGGCTTACATGTTTCCATTCGGAAGAGGCATGAGAAGTGAATCGCGGAATTCTGTCTCAAGTCGCGACATATCATCGTCGTATCTGTAAAAGGCCTGTCATAAGAGTGCTCCAAATTGGTTGCTGAACGAAACGATCATATGAGACACTTAGGCATGAGACGGGAAGTGGCCAACCATATTAGACCCAAATCGTTATGATTTATTCGAAATCATTGGGCTAGAAGACCGTTCGCAAAGCTGGATTTGTTCGCTCTCTACTATGTTCCTCCATCGGCCCGAGATCTCGACAGGGATAACAAATTTGTTGCTCAAGAATAAAACATTTGTATAGTGAATTCACCTAAAAAAGCTATTCCAAGCTAATATGAAATAAGACCGTTAGGTATTTAAAACTCATGCGTAACGTTGCCTACGATGACTTTAATCTTTCAGGCGCAATGTGTCCTATCGTTCTGCTGCCACTGAGAAGTATAGAGATGATATGGGTATCTATAGAATAGATGTGCCAAGGATTAAGACCTACTTATTGAACTAGGCGAAGAGGAGCGCTCGTGCACGTGAACGCGACAATGGGATAATAGTAGAAGAGGCATAGAAGAGTTACTTGAACGATGCTCTGGTTCGAGACATTTTGGTCTGACTTCATTTTTGGTCGGAGATTTTACTAATCGTGGCAACACCAGTGGTACTCGATCTATGAGTTTAGAGGTAGTCATTCCAGAGATTTCATGGACTTCATTTTGAGATCACTAGATCACTAAGGAGGTGATTATCGCCTAAGTTGTGCATTCTTACTGAAAAAGTGATGAAGAAGTAAAAATAGGTTCTTTCAAGGATTTCAAACTTTTCTTCTAAGTGATAAGGCTCCAAATAAGTACCAGAATGTATGCCTCGATTTCTTGTACTGTCGTAAATGTAAGCGAGACCATAAAATATCTTAATTATTTATCTAACTCCTAAAAGTTTACCGCCTCATCATCGCTGGGAGGTGTTCCTGGGTGTCTGGCTGCGATGTACAACGAGTAAATTCATCGCCCCAGCATGGCCTCTCAAGCTGAGAAGGAGTCCTGCGTTTCCATCAGGAAGCCTAGTTAAGAGTAAACCAATACCAGGATCGACCACCATCCTGGTATCAAACAAGTCGTATGGTGGCAAATCTCCCTCTAATCCACAAGGGCGGCAATTATCTGGGGTGGTGACGACCTGGAGCAGATTTTGGTTAAGTTGACCTCAAGAATCCAGGAAACCACGATGGCTCAACCAGCAAAACTCCGAAACTATGGAAATTATGCCAGCGCCCGCATAACCAGTGAGCACAGGCCATCAAAATATCCAAGTAGTATTTATGTAAGTTCGGATACGTAGAAATATCGTCGTTCTCTTAATAGTGTTCCGTATATGTGCATTATACGGTTTTGATAAGAAATTAGTGTATTCAACTTTTCCTTTTGAATGAAGGCAATAGTCGTTCAGGAATCTTAGAACATTACCGTCTCACTTCTCGTCCGAATCCCGCTCTTCCCATATCATCCCAATCTGCGTAACTGCGGCTTTTGCTCACGGGTCGATAGGTGTCATAATCCGAGCTGAAAACTTGAGATGATAGGTTTCTTTGAGCATACTAGGAGAAATGAAAGTTTTTGATTTAAGCTGTACATACATATCTGTCAATTGATTGATTTTTTGATGGTCTTACTTTTGTTATAGGCTTTCCAACATTTTTCTTCTTGTCCAAATTGTTTAGACTCATACCATAACAATAAAACGTGTCCTTCCTCATTAGCACTTATCATGGTTTTAGGAGAATAGAATATGAATTCACTTAAAAACGGTAAAGCATCCACAGTTACTTAATTGCCAAAAGTCTTTTCGCTGGTGATATCGCTTTATATTTCTTATTTATTAATGAGATATAAGTGTAGCGACATACAACCAGAACGCTACTATTCTTTAGGTGAAAATGCTTAGTGGAACAGTAGTTTACCGTCTGGGCAACGTGGGTGGGAACTCGACGAATGGTGACATCTGCTGGCTGGTGCGGCGATAAGAAGACACTGAACGGCGATCCTGATCACCTCCGCTGAATATATCACCTAAACGTTCACTTTGTTTCATTTTCATATATCAATATCGGTTTTAACTGACTCTACTTTCATGTGTTGACAAATAATCGTAATGTAAGGGATCTCAGACCGCAAAATGGTGGGTTACGTGGGTTGCCCTTAGACGGCATATGAAAAGTTAAATGTGGGTTAAATGCGAACATAAAGTACAAAGCCGATGGATTTAGGAGATGGTCTGCCTATCTCTGCTGCACAGGATTAAGTTGTATTTTCCATACACTTTTAACCATATCCACGCATACACATGTAGACGTGCTCATGTACCTCATATATATATATATATATATATATATATATATATATATATATATATANNNNTTCCTGTATACCAGTTACCTGACTGCAGTTTTCGGCGAATTAAAGTACAACAACCCATATATATATATATATATATATATATATATATATATATATATGGGTTGTTGTACTTTAATTCGCCGAAAACTGCAGTCAGGTAACTGGTATACAGGAAGTGACTTTCTATTGCTTTCAATAAATGAACTCCATTTGTACTCCGGTACATTACGATAAAGTACTGCTGAGTATAATCAACCTCCATAAAAGACCAATACAAGATGGCCGTGTATTCTAGCCGAAAACCCGTTGCTTAGATGCTTACTTTTTATTTTATACGACCAATCTTCACACCTACTGTATGGATTCCAGCGCTTCTCACATTCGATTCCTTACCCTGCACCCATCATCCACTATGGTCCTCCAACTTCTACGTGTGGCTTCGACTCCTGCTCGAGGATTTTGGTATTATTTTGAATACTGTAGAGTGCTGGTCGAGTTGATTCTCCTTGGCGTTCTGAGATAGCCGGGCTGGAGCGCAATTGAATTGCATAGAGATTACAATGTTTAACGTTTTGTTTTCTGCCTTCTATAATTTTCATGGCAGGTTACTAAACGAAATACAACCACAACGTTGCTAAGATATTTGCAAAACTCTGGACCGCAGGTGTCTATGGTGGGGAACGAACGCGCTATTATCCTTTCCGGGGAGTAACGCGTTCACCACCACACCATGCGGGTCCTTCACTTCGCCTGTCTCTCAGCTATTTCATTCGATCTTTTTGCCACAGCAATCACCCGTCAGCGGGTTGATCTGGTGTGGTGGTGAACGCGTTACTCCCCGGAAAGGATAATAGCGCGTTCGTTCCCCACCATAGACACCTGCGGTCCAGAGTTTTGCAAATATCTCAGCAACGTTGCATAGCGATTCTTCAGACAAGTCTGGCACCAATTTTCCGATCGGATCGAAGCAGAACCGTGCTCGGGATGGCCGGCATCTCTAGCACTGTACAATCTGCCTCCTCATATAATTTGGATGCTTAAATGATATGAATTCACATATCGTCTCCTATTTTCTTCTTCCAGTGTTTCCCTTGCTCAATTCTTCTTACTGGCATATGAATGCTCTTGACCGAGCGCGGATTTTCTGTCCTCTCGCGTTATTTTTCGATATTCACGTGTACATGGCAGTTCCTTTTTTGTTCCTGAGCATCGGTTACTGATGTTTTTGGAACTCCGAAATTCCTCTTTTATATGGTACACAGAATTATTAGTGTCTGTTTTCTAGTAACGTATTCAAATAACTCTTACGTCCTTTCTTTTCTCTTATATAAATCACAAGCCCTAGAGAAGTATATTAAAGCAGAAAGAACCACGAAGTTGAAGATATGGAGAATGAGATGGATGTTCTTTACCATCTCTACTACATCCTCGATGATCTTTCTTTACATGGGATCTTAGAACCGTATGTTCCCATTGCTCTAATCTCGAACCAGATTGTTCATCATGATGACTTACCGGTCGAGATAGCATGGCTACACTATGTTAGATATATTCGATTTATTGATCTCGAATGGAGAATAGCAACAAATCCGTTTTACACAAATATCGCTTTCTTTAGGTTCAACCATAGACCGACCATACGCTTCCTCAAAATAGGCCAGAATTGGTTCCACATAGACATTAATTGGTTTTATGAATAGATGTAAATGGTTTTGATAACGGCCATCTACTTTCAATACCGTATTGTCCCATTAAAACTTTCGTAATACACTCTCGAGAACGATAGTGAATAACAACGTCGTTGTCGATTAGGCAAAATCAGATATCCAAAAGTTCCTCAGACGTTCGTCATTCCGTTGGGGACCGAAACTGTCAAAGTAAGCACTGCTCCCACACTTCTTCAACTGCTATTGTCCGATTAGAATCGCTAATTATTCAAGTGAGCCGATGTTTATGACAAGGTAGTGTTGGTAAGGGCACTAATTTTGCCAACGTTTCTCTTTGCGAACAATATTTATTGGACCACAACGATGCTGCCATATTTGCAAAACTGAACCGGAGGTATTCGCGGCGAGGAACGAACGCGCTATTACCCTTTCCGAGAGCTAACGCGTTCATCACCACACCATGCATGTCCTTCGTTTCGCCTGTTTCTCAGCTAGCTCTATCAATCACTGCCAATATTTATTGAGTATTCTTGCTTTGGTACGTCTAAGGTACCACATAATCGATGTTCCCAACTTTTGTTGTCAGGATCTGAAAAGAAAACTCTGATACTAGTGTGCCTTCGTTTTGAAAAAACATCGTAACCGTAGTCTCTCCAGGTTCATGCTGTGTCTCCACACCTGTTTCCCGAAGTTGCGGAATCGAGTGCCTTTTGGGATCAGCGAACGTCGAAAGCATCTTCTATGCATGAGGTTCTTCAGTTTTATCATTTTTGCTGGCCTGTTAACCCAAGAAGTTCGTCGAGCATTTCTACGCCCGTTGGAAACTTAGTACGCTTTCAAGGAGTTGGTGGGGAATTATTTCGTGGAGGTACTCTCGAATCAACGCATATACGTCTCAACTACTTCATCGAAGACTACTGCTTGCACGTTATGTACGGTATTATACTCATGCAAGAATGACCTGGGTTTAGGTGTAGATATGACTACTCATATACGAGGATATAGCTAAATCCGGCGCAGCCAAGACATCAGGCAATTGTGCACCAGAGAAGTGCGTAAGCTTTTGAACCATATTCAACCATCAGTCATGCGTGGACGAGTGGCGTCACCTTGCAGCTAAACGACTCGCTTCCTCATGTGAAGATAATCCATGGTTATATGTAGCACAACTTTTTCTTTACATCGGCTACGGACTGGTTATCCATTCACATCAGGAATAGAAACTCACGAGTAGAATAACTCTTGTGCATGTTGCGTATTCCACTTCCATTCTGCGCCCACTGTGTTTCCTGAACCTCACCGTTTGGAATATATTTTAGCTCCCCGCGACGCAACGAGTCGCTCACGGAGCCATAACGAGCGTGAGCAAGTCCTCTACCGACGTTCTCGTCCTCGTATCTCTGCAATGTTGCTGGGATCGGTGTAAGGCTAATATTTGGGTACGTTTGTTCCTACATGAGATGGTGTATGTACAAAAATCTGCACACTTACGTGGTCTTTTTCTCTTCTGGTTGTAGATTTTCGGTAGTAGGTCTCACTGGATGGGAGATACCCATTGCTAGCACCACCTCGAGAAAGCGAACTGCTGCGCATACCTGAAAAGTATCTGAAATGTCTGAACATAATCATGAATCTACGAAGGAACGTTGGTGTTACATAGAAATGATGTTCTATTGCACACAACTATTTCATATTAATAAGGGAAGCACCCAAGAGGTATGTTCGGTACAGCTACTGATGAAATTGTTAGTACCTGAAAGGCACTACTAGCTGCCAGCGCTATAATTAGAGTACTATATTGTCATGAAATACATCTGTGTGAGCGTCAGAACAGAGAAGTGGGTAACGAGAGCATTAGTAACAGACACGTCGACAGACAGCCATGTTGACATATAGACAATGACGTGACATACGGTAATGGTGACGACGAGCTTCATCGGCGGCTTCGTATGCTTCGCGTACAACTTTGTTGATTTCTTCATCAGTCATAGCACGCTTCGAGTCGTGATAGACGATGCTGCTTTGCATAGGTACAGAAGCGATGCGACGTTCTATAACGCTAGGCCGCCGATTAGTTCATCACACACCAAAATATAGTAAAATATAAAAATACCCGAACACGGACCACAAAAAAACTGTATTGACGTAGATCATCGATTTAATAATGCTAACGCATATTGCACGTGTTGGGACGGTCTTAAGGAGAAAAAAATAACGAATATGTTGCAGAAAACATAAAATGTTCGCAGCATTCATGCAGCCAGTACAAATCTTGTTGTCATTGCGAACTTAGTGAGCTATCATCCAATAGCTCCTTTCTGCAACGATCTTAATGTCCCAGGGTTTACTTATTACCTATTTTTTCCATGGTAGGGTGCGACGTAAATTACATCATCATCGACATCATTACATTAATCACAAAGATGCTGAGATATGAGCTAAACTCGATCTTCAGCTGGGCTTCAAACACGCGATCATCTCTATCGGCGGTTCCCGTGCTATCCATCGCGCTAACCGTGACCCTCTTTGCGCCTTTCCTCAGCCGTCATTGCTATCACCGTTCAAAGAAAATGATCTGGAGCGCAAATCAGCATTGAACCATGATTCTGAAGCTAAAATCACATTATTTTGACTTCTATTCACTACCTATTCTTTTTCATAGGTTCGATGCCGATTTATGCTCTCTAGATCATTCCCGCCTCCCAACGGTTTACCGCCTCATCGTGGCTGGGAGGTGTTCCTGGGTGTCGGACTGCGATGTACGGCGGGGATTCATCCCCTGGCAGGATCTCCCAAGCTGAGAGGGAGTCCGGTGTTTCCATCAGGAAACTTAGCTAAGAGTAAACCAATACCAGGATCCGCCACCGTCCTGGTATTAAAGTCGCATGGTGGTAAATCTCCCTCTGATCCACAAGGGCTGCGACTGTCCGTGGTGGTGAAGACCTGGGTCAGATTTTGGCCAGACTGACCTTGGGATTCCAGGGAACTACAGTAGCTTGACCGGCAGATCTCGCATAAATGGTGGTTATGCTGGGGCCCTCACAACCAGTGAGGACGGGCCGTTTAAGTGTTAAATGTCAAGCCAAGTAGATCATTCCCAGAGCGGGTGTGGCGCAGTGGCTGGAGGCGCCACTGGGAGACACGCGTGGAATCGATCCCCGCGCCTATAGCCCAGTAAGTCTTCCATCTCTCCGCTGTCGGCAAATTGGTACCAAACTTGTTTGGGAAGATAGCATCACTGGCTCGATACATCGATAGGCCACTGCGAGCGAGTTATTGTAAAGGTCGGATATGCATTCAATCGCCTCCAAACGATACTTAATGAAGTGGAATGCATGGCACATCCTTCAGGGATTGATCAAAGCCGAGAGCTTTATCCTTTTATCATTTTAGATCATTGTCGTTGACTGGTGATTTTTGATAGCACTGTTAGGGTAAAGAAGCAAAACCAAGGCTTCAGTTGGTGTGGTGGATAGCACGGGAGCCCCCGGTAAGCGTAATCACGGGTTTTAAGCCCAACTGAGATTCCGAGTTATGCTCGTATCTCAGCATCCTTTGGTAAATGCTATTTTGGACCGTTTACGTAATATCAGAGCATAATGCGAACTACATACACCGTACTTCTTGTGGTTCGCTTGATAGTATTGTTAACGTATTTCGACATGATACCTATTAAATGTAGGTTTGCGAATAAGCAACACTCAGCTAACCAACATAAGAATGACCCAGCTTTAGTTAGCTTGCGATAGGATCAGATCAGATCTGACATTCAAGTTCTCAACGTATGGTCGAGCTCTTATCGAAAGAAAAGCATTTTTCCTGGTGTATGTAACACAAAGTAATTTATATTATGTGCAAAATAGCTATGTTAGATGTGCGACCGATGGTATTGTGATCACAAAAGTTTGTAGCCGGTGATAAATTGCAGAATACTGTCTGCTTGACAAGTCATGTACGAATGACTGTAGCCTTACCAGATCCGTAACCGTTTTCCCAACCGTCGCGAACCATATGATGACGAGACGATGAGTACTGTCTAGAGCGACGATCACGACGTTCCTTACGCTGAACTCGTCGTTCCACTTCTTCTGTTCTACGCGTTTCCTCGAAACGTTGCACCGTTTCTGTGACGGAAGGCTGGAAATTGTCCACATCTTCAAAATCTCATGAAGTTATGAAGGTAGGTGCTACGAATACCATTAAATCCATTAGTGTCCCTAAGAAACACTGGAAAACGCATTTTTTAATTTGTCATAAGGGCACAAGTTTATCAGTGTCAAGATAACCCATTTAATAAGGACTTTCTACACATTTTTTGAATGAAATTGTCCAGCAAATTAAAATAATACCGAAAAATTGTTATTTTTAACCATAGCTCAGAGGCACATGTCGACAAATTGAAACCACACTTGTTTGGAACATAAAAACACTGATTTGATATAAAGACAAGTAACCGCAAGTTCTTTTTAATGCTAAAATACATTCAAGGGCCTACATGATGCTTCAAACATACCGCACATACAACGTTAAGCGGTCCTGCCGCTTAGATGGCTTGCACTTTTCAGCCTTTGTGGACGTGGTCGTTTTTTGACAATAAACGACAGTTTTTCGATAACTACAGGATTTGAGAGGTCATGAACAGATAGGAATCTCGAAGAGACCTTGCTCTGTCGCTCTATAGGTTTATATGTCACTATCGTCGATCAGGGCGCATGTGGCGCATTGGTCAGAGGCGCCCTACTGCACACGGGTGGAATTGATCTCCGCGCTCATGGTCCACAAAGCTTTCCATCTCTCCGGGGTTCGCAAATTGGCACCAGACTTGTGTGGGAGGATAGCAGCGCAGGCTCAATATATCGGTAGGCCACCGCGAGTCACTATAACGGGGAGATGTGCATTCAATCACCTCCAAACGATGCTTAATGTCAATAGCTACAATTTATTCTAGCCCTTAGATTTAAAATAACAATCAAAGTTGCCTGTCAAACTGCCAGTCAATGAACACCTCCGAGAAAAAAGACTTCGTATACTTTTAGGTGCAGAATGAAACCCTCCCCAACCGATGTTCGTCACAAAATCTATAACGAACAGGGAATCCAATGATTACAAGATGAATAGGAAAAGCATGCTGTACTCCAAAATAGACCATCGAAAGAATATAACTCGTATGAAGTGCTGAGATACCTGCAAAACTCCGGACCACAGGTGTATGCAATAGGGAACGAACACGCGTTGTTGTCCTTACCGGGGAGCAGCGCACTTCACCACTACACCATACACCTGTGGTCCGGACCCGAATGGTGTAGTGGTGAAGTGCGCTGCTCCCCGGTAAGGACAACAGCGCGTGTTCGTTCCCTATTGCATACACCTGTGGTCCGGAGTTTTGCAGGTATCTCAGCACTTCATACGAGTTATATTTCACAACATACCCTGCCATTAAGAAGAAAAAGGCAGTAAATAANCACCACTACACCATACACCTGTGGTCCGGACCCGAATGGTGTAGTGGTGAAGTGCGCTGCTCCCCGGTAAGGACAACAGCGCGTGTTCGTTCCCCACTGCATACACCTGTGGTCCGGAGTTTTGCAGGTATCTCAGCACTTCATACGAGTTATATTTCACAACATACCCTGCCATTAAGAAGAAAAAGGCAGTAAATAAAAGAGTTAACATCGAAAGAATGTCCATACAGAGGTCAGAACGGCGACACGAAGAGCAGCTTACAATTGTATAGAATGCACACCGTCCGTTATCTGTTAATTGGGTCGAATACATAGCACACCCCTAAAGGACTGATAACGGTAGGCGCTTTATCCTCTATCCAATATCTTTTGTAGAAAGAGCTAGTAGAGTAGGTGGTAGTTTCATTGCTTCTCATGAAGCATGTGCTATCATTAGTTGGTCTTTTAGCAGTTCTCAAACATTTCAATAAAGATTTAGGTAAGTATTCATGGTTCCTTCTTGATCGTCATGATTTTATAGAAGACTACTGCTCGAACTAAAATGTGTCTAGATATTGAGAAAATACCGCAGCTCACCTTAGTATTAACATTACTCTGCGAGCGTTGATATTTCTTGTGTTCGATCAACTCATTTTCGGATGATGGATGCAGCATTCGGTCTCTGGTTTCTAATTCTCGGCGCTTCATAATGCTCCTCGGTTTATCATCCTGGAAAGTTGTTATTCATTATAGTTAAAAACTGAATTATCATAAAGTGACAGAAAAATGATCAAATCATAACCAGTTTGGCCAGTCCACAGACTGAGTGCTTTAGTAATTTTCAGTGTCTCGTAGTAATTGCAATCTTAGTTGAGTGGTTGTTGAATTATCGAACGACGGAGGAGGCAAATCTATTATGTGCGATGTCTCCGAGATATTGAAGTCTATGGTGAAAACAAAAAGAAGACTTGTTCATTTGGCGAAATGAATGTAAGTATTTTATTGCTGAAATTATCCAGTGAACAAGCCAAAGTGTTTGGTGAGCATGTCTAGAATGTTAGGTCACACATAAAGTAGTCCTGTGTCCAAACGATGCAGTCAATTGCAGGTAATGACGACTGTGAAAGAGGATTTACTATAATCAAGCGAAGGTCGTCGCAACAGATTCATGACTACACACACTAACTATCACTGCGGAAATGAAGCGCCAAGACGTCAGGTTTCATTATGCGTAGTTAGGCCAATTGAACCTAGAGTGAAAGGTAAGAGTAGTTTCCAATAGGCGATTGTGTTTATTCTATTTAACAAACAGGAATATATCCTAGAAGAGACGAGTATTAACTATGTACAGAAATGAGTTCTGCATAGATACCGGCTTCTAAAAACTAGTTGCTTAAAAGGAATAATAATGCAACTTTTAAGCACGACATTGCCTGTTTAATCGATAATTTTCGAAGCTTATAATCTAGGAAGATATCAAAATACGTAGGCGTATATAGGGAGTCTCGACAGACCTTGAGGATATCATCTCTGGCACCGTTAACTGATACAATAGACCGCGGCGAGAACGACTGTGTAGAGAACTGCCAGGTTGCAGTTGAAACATCCTGCAAACGTTTTAGTAAAGAAACCACACTCTGTATTCAAACCATTCGTATGTCATCAACAATCATCACAGTAGGGAGTAAATCAATCTTTAGACAACTGATTGTTTAGAACACAGGCGTTGAAGATGTTAGATCACTCGCACACTCGCTACTAGGCAAAGCAATAGCCGGAATACCGTGACATATCCAGATCGGTCATTCTCTCGTGTTGTTGATGTTTCGAGCGAGTTTCGCGATTCGAGCATTTCGCGAACCTGGTCCTAAAAAGAACAGAAGCACAGAAAGTCTGCTGATGACCTTCTTGTTTGGAACTACTACTTTTTTCAACAAAAATCGAAACCGATGAGCAAATATAGAATAGAAATTTAGAGAAATTCAAGCAATATGACTCTCGTTGTCTCCAAAATCGGAGTGGAATTAGTTGATACCCTTATTTTGTCCACAGTATTACTAAGAATCGTGGTGAATTCCAACCCCTTTCCTCTCTCACTCTTTAGAAGGGTTTGCTTGAGAGTACATGCTGTACACACCACGGTTTAGCATTAATCGGACAAAAATCGAATTCGCCGAAAACTTTTTGAAGGAAATTATTGGAACCGAGAACGAAAGCTCACTTTGAACGCCTGAGGGATGGGCTCAGGTCCCTCCTTAACGATCTCCGAGTCGATGAGCCTATAACCGGCACGACGTTCTCGTGATCGTTCCAATAATTGTTCACCCTTTCGTGCCAAATCATCCAGTTCTTCGTTCTAGAGTGCGGTTGAAAGCGGTAAGCGACTCACTACTAGTAAATGTCGAACACACTTCTCACACAACCTCGGAAATAAGACGTGCGTACAAAACCCAACGCATTGCTAGCATTTCTCATGATAAAAGAACATGTACACATTGTGCTGCTCCGAGCAATCGATTCATATGTTTTCGCATGTCTGACATACTTTCGTGATACTAAGGAATTTTAAAAAAATTTTTATACTTAATCCTGTAAAACTTTCCGTAGGTACAGCCTGCACAGCGAAAAGTCCGTATATACGCCGCGTATATTTTGCGCTACGTATCGTCATTATTACGACGAATCGTCGGTTAAAATAATGACATGAGTAAATCTGCTGGCACGTCCAATTTCCGAGAATTAGATGACATGTATGACATCACGTGACATATATACACACAAACAGAACACTAGAAACTGTGCTTGAGCTTACCTTTGGCGGTTGATTGGCAGCCTGAAAATATCATTTGTCACTCATCACTATCAATTTCAAAGTCTAAAGCACTAACGTGAGATAACAACAAACACGCAGCAGGTGACTATGACCTCTGACCTCTGAAAAACCTGAAAATCTTAATCAGCTCACAAATTCTTCTCGGGTGTTTGCTCTTCACAAAAGAAAGTGGAAACTGCAGACACACCCACACCCACCCAGCCACACACACACACACACACACACACATATATATATATATATATACACAGACATACACACTCGTATACACACATACACAAAACTTAGAGTCAAAAACAGTCTGAGACGAACGTTTAATTACACGGTTGACCATGCCAACGATCAACGCACAAATTCACAATGGACACACAAATAAAAAACGATTGAAAAAAATAAAAGAGGCATAAAAATGGGCAATAAAACTAAATATTCCAGAATTTAATTACACTACATGACTGAATGCGTGTGAAAAGGCAAATTGAACTTGGGATAAAACCATGCAGATGGACACATAGAATATCATTTGTAGCAAATATATGACATTAAGAAAGGAGAAATTTTCTTATATTCAATAAACCGGACGGGTGAGGTTAGTCTGAGAGAAAAAGAGGTTTTTTCGCGTAATGTGACAAAAACGTGTAGAAACCTTTCATTGAGATGTATTCCATTAAATCAGAGATATTGCGAACCGGAATTATATTTGTGATCTCGAAATGGTTGAGAACTCTTTGAGCGATCGAGACGTTTTGTGGATTCGGTCACACTATGTATCATACGTCTAGTGTGACTCGGTGATGGAGAGAAAGCTTTCGGATCCGGTAACGGGTCACCGAGCTGTAAAAAGAATCTGTTGGGAACACGAATTCTATGTGTTTCTTCAAATTTAGAAAAAAGGGTTGATGAAGCATAGATCTGTTGGGTTCTGGAAAACTGTTTGGATACTGAAAAAAACAGCAAATATCTTAGGATATTTAGCAAACGTCGTCTTATTGCCCCGTAATCCTCGTCTTACCTATCCTTCTTCATAAATGGAATTACTGTATACCTGTTAGGTTCAACAAAATGACAACATAAATCATCATTACTGCTCCAGTCGCCGAACGATGAAATGAGTCTCAACGCTCGTCAAAAAATCTACTCACTCTGTGTCCAGCAGGCAATGGATGTGGATGGTATGCCTTGGCTCTTCCGTAGGGTACTGGTGATGGGCCAGCAGTGGTTACTTGCCCGATTTTTGTTCGCACACGAATAGCAGCAGGTGAATGCGCTCGCCGCACTGGCGACAATGCAGTGGTAGACACCGACCGAGTATGTGAGAACGAAGGGATTGAATTTTCATACTGTTGACGATGCTGAAAACTTCATAATTTTGGAGGTGTTTTCAGTTAGTTCAGTTTGAAAAGGTGCAAGTGTTTTTTACAATGAAACAAAAACAAACAACAATAAAAGATGTGTTACTGAGTGGTATGGAACAATGCACGAATCGAAACAACAGGAGAAAGGACTGAACAACAAATGTGCATAGGTGCTGTTTCCGCTGTTTCCGCCAGTCATTGTCTTCCTTCAAAGAGCATAAATTTTTCTGTCACCCATGGTTCCTTTCCATAACCTCCTTTCTACACTACTGAGTTTTTGATCAGAATCATCTTGCGTATTTATCAAACATGATTGAATCAAAGGCATTCACGAGATGGTTATGATTCCATCGCAATCAACCAATTTCATTAATAACGCAGTGTGGCCATAAAAAGCTGTGGCGAAATATTGACCTCTGAGGTCATCTTGTCGGACCTCCTCTCCTATCGCGTTGTCGTGTTGTTTCCAAGACAGCAGGCTACCACTACCTGCACAACCAGTGCTGACAGAATGACAATCGTATCTACGCTGTCAAAGGCCCTTTCATAAACAGTAATTATTGGAATTCTGTTTAATGTGCCAGTTTCACTTTGTTAAAAATTACGATATGAACATTGAGATGATCATTGTAAAGACTATGTAAAGCACCTTCAACAAGCAGATCGGATAGCATTCACGAAGGTTCTTCGTGTCACCAAGAACATTGACTCCGATGGATACCGCTAGAAAATCTATCCTAATTTTCTCTGATCCTACAGCTATAGTGCTCTAGCAAGCAAGTGTTGGTTGCCTTAATTGCGCAAACAGTTGGTTTGTTCCCACCTAGGAGTTAATATGACCAGCTAACAGGATTATTGAGAAAATCGGTATGTTCTTCTTTGTTATTAAAACAGGTATTTTCCTGATAAGTTATGATGGACGTGTTATAAGAATATGGGATTGTGAACACAGGTATTTACCTAGAAACTAAACAAAAAAAATGCAGCCTAAGGTGGACTCCAACAGAAGAGGAAAATATCTGGGGTAATTTTACTTTTAAATGATCTTTCAGAAACGTCACAGTTCTTTCACGCATCGGATGATCTTGTCCCGTATGTGGAACTTTGAATATACACTATACGTCGGTATCTATGATAACCTTGTTATCACGGTGAAAATGGTGAAGTATAAAAAACACGTTGGAAATACCTGTGAGTTACGTTGAGAATTCTCTTTCTTCCTTGAGGTGTGCATTGGCTCCGAATGGTGCCCAGAAGTCGGTGGACTAGACATACTGTGGATAGAACCGTAACGTGACTGAAAACATGTTCTCATTTGCTTAATTGCGTAACCCTTTAGAAAAGTCTCACAAGCCCTAGAATAAGTGTTACTGATATGCGTTAGTTAACAAATTTTATTAATCCCGTGAAAACCTGTACTACGTCGTCCTCAGTATATCATCAAACACAGTGGCAGGCTTTTCTGGATAAATAGTAGGTGAATAAGTTGCATTCAAAACGATGACGAAATCCAGTATTAGTTTACTCTTAGTTGGGCATCTGGGTGGAAATGGCGAACTCCTTTCCGGATAGAAACGCCATTGGTGAGTAAGACACTTTGCTGCAGCTCATAGTTTGACACGCAGGAACACCCATATACCAACATGAAGCGGATAACCATTGGTTCATATGTAGTGATGTACAGTGAATATATAGAATTTTGAAACCTGTTTAGACACCTCAATGATCAAGTGTAAACTGACTTTATGATATACAACCACAACTATGCTGAGATATTTGCAAAACTCCGGACCGCAGCTATCTGCAGTGGGGAACGAATGCGCTATTACCGTCTCCAGGGGCTGACGCGTTCGCCAGTACACCATGCGGGTCCTTCGTTTCATCTTTCCCGCAGGCAGTTCTATCGGGTGACTTCATGATAGTTGCGAAAATGGTTGTCGTTTCAGCAGAGTAAACACTTGTTCATGAGAAATGTATCTCTAGAATGTTAGGAAAAACCATCTTTGTTAACCAAGTTTTTGATTAGTCGAGGTAAAAATTATGTTTAATGGGTCCCAAGCTCTTAGGAAATTTATAATAGTTAGTGGTAGTAGATAGTCTGACTTCTCTCATGCACACCTTGCACGTGAACGAGTTCATCAATGTATCATTCAAAGAGTGCACAAATAAATGTCCTCTGAATAAAGGGTTAGAAGGCCATCCATATTGAATATCCAAAAAATTGGTCTTACCACTTAGCACGAATTATACTACTGTATCGATGTGTTATTCGCCAATAACTGCAATTTTCATGACGAGCGATGAACAAGAAAAAAGGAAGGTATGTTACTGAATTTGAACTCGACTGAGAAGCTCAACCCTAAGAAACGTACACCATCAACACTGTACAGCTTCTGAGCGCTTTCTTGTCGTCGCTGGAGATCTTGAACCGACCCTTCAAAATGTGACAGGCGTCGTTTAACATTGACATTTTTCGGCACGTCTTTGCCAACTATCGTCGACGAATGTGGTGGTAGATCATAGATTTTATCCCATTCGTTCATACCTTCAAAGACAAATCATTAAATATTAACGCCTAGTATTAGCGCTTAAAGGTAACTTATTATTTTTCGAAATTTCGAACTTCGATTTCCTTCTTGTCCATGTTTAGCTGATATTGACAGTTGATACTTCCGCAGAACAAATGCAAAATTCCTCATTAATATGTTTGTTTTTCTCTAAGGAAAAAAAATTTCGGACTATATCTAGTTCAACGCTTGAGGACGAAAACTCATTCATAAGGCTACAAATCAAAAAGTGGGAGATTATGGTTCGCAGAAATAGGACCTTCATCCAGCCGACGGTAGTTATTCTGATGAATAACTTCGACGTTGTCCTCAGGACTGTGATGACGATCATCAACCGTTGTCAAAAGACCTTGCGATGAAACTGATCTACGTTTCACTACCTGAAAACTTTTCAGTCTAGTACCACTTTGTTAATTGCCCTATTATAACATTTATTATGACTATAATTTCATTAATACGTGCTTCTCTAAATATCACCTGAATAACCTGTCGTTCCGTTGATGGTTGAGTGAACTCGAAAGGACGCCCATAAATCATCTCTTTATCCCTGTCGCGTGTAAGAGCAGCCCAGTGGGTTCTGCCCAATCCAGAGACTTGTTGAGCATCAAACATTTTTTCTAGAGCTTTCGTGAAAAACTTTCACCATTGGGTCGGTGGTCTTCCCGCAGTGCATTTAACACCTCGAGAAATCCAGTCACCAAGGGCTCTTTTCCATCGTCTGTCATTCATACACATTACATGTCCGGCCACCTCATCTTCAACAGCTTAGACCATAGAACGGCATCTTTAATTTTGACCGTTGACGTGAGTCGGAGTTTCGGATCTCTTCCCTCACTTTTGTGACACTGGATGCTCCTACCATTGTCCTTTCGAATGGGTGCTCAACAACACTGAGTGGTGTTTCACCCTGCTTAGGTAATGACCAGGTTTCTGAGGCATACGTTAAGGCAGAAAGTATCGCGGAGTCGAGAGGTGAGCACGAAGTTGGGTGTTCTTTGTTCTCTTCACTACAACCTCGGTGCCGTTGAAAGCTTCCCAGGCCGCTCATCTTCTACTTCTTAACTCTGTAGTAAAGTCGTTCAATATAATTTCCTGACCTAGATAGAACTCGAACATGCGGAGATATGTTCGTTTCGTTGAGCATTTTTTCGTTTTCGTTTTTTTGAGATTTAGTGAGAGACCAGTCTTTCCACAAGCCTTATCAAAGTCGACAAGTATTCGCTCCGCCTGGCTAATGCTTCGTGTTGCAAGAACGAACTCATCAGCAGAGAGATAATGGTGTAATTTCCGACCTTCGATTTCCACTCCCATGTTGTTCCATTCGTCGTGGCTGGAAGGTGTTCCTGAGTGTCGGGCCGCAGTGTACAGCTGGGGGATTTATCCACCAGCAGGGTCTTCCAAGCTGCGAACGAGCCCGGCATTTCCATCAGGAAACTCAGCTAGGAGTAAACCAATACCAGGTTGCACTATCGTCCTGGCACCAAACTAGTTGCATGGTGGCAAATGTCCCTATGATCTACAAGGGCGGCGGCTGCCTGTAGTGGTGACGACCTGGAGCAGAGTTTGGCTAGGCCGACTTCGAGACTCCAGGGAAATACAATGACTAAACCAGCAAAACACCGAAAAATGGAGACTACGCTGGCGTCCACACAACCAGCGAGGACAGGCCGTCCAAGTGTCCAAGTCAGTTGTTCCAATTCAGCGTTCGCATGACGTTATCGATAGCGGCGGCAAGTGATTTTGGCGAGACGGTATCGCCTAGCCTAACGCCTCCTTTGAGGTTGACGTTAATATCAGCGTAGAATGGTGATATCTCGGTTGTGAAACTTTTATACAGCTTATGAAGAGTCTTTATGTACTGAGTAAAGGTCACTGGCTGTCCAGGACTTCCATGACTGCTTCGGTCTCACATGAATCAAAAGATTTCTTCAAATTGATGAAAGTGAGAAAGCCGTCTCTTGTACCTTCGTACTTCAATGAGTCTCGTTATCGTGTGGACGTGGTCCATTGCACAGAATCCTCTTCGAAATTCTGGTTGCTCACATGGCTTTTCTTTGTCCAGTGTTCTGACAATCCGGTTTGGGACGACTCGAGCAAAAAGTTTGTAGATGACATACAATAAGCAAACTGGTCGACAGTGGTCAATATCGTGGAGCTCACCCATTTATAAGTATATCCACATATTCAGTGCTCGAGATAAGTGAAACACTGCGGTTTGACGTGCCCTACAATACACACTTGTCATGGAATCGACTGCTCATTTCCAACAAACAAGCCCAGAATCCCACTGGAGTCGGCATATTGGTACCAGAATAGTCCGAGAACATGGAGCACTAAACTGACAATCAGCTGCCGCCTAGAATTCATTATATAGGTTAAATATGCATTCAATCACCTCTGCGACAAAATGAGCGAAGTCGAATGCATAGCACGTCCTTAACGGATTATTCAACGTCGAACGCTTTACGGTTTCCATCTTTTGCAGTGGCCAAGTGTACGCTTTTAGTAGATACTACGCCATCCAAAAAAAATTCCAAAAGAACAACCGTGACATCCAAAAAAATTCTTTTCCCTACTTAACACCGAAGTATTACCAATTAGTTTACACTGACCTTCTTAAAGGAGACCGTAAATAAACGAAGTGAAAATTGAAAAAAAATTGAAAATCGAAATCTTAGTTTAGCGTTTTCTCTGTTTGGCTATGGAAGTACCTGACAGGGTAGATCGCTGTCAACTTGACCTTTCCAGGCTCCGAGGAAGGCGAAATCCGCCGAAACGTCACCTTGTTCGTGAATAAGGAATAAAATAATACCTCGCGTTTGCTCAATGAGTTAAATTTAAAGGTTCATTTCCAACAACGAGGAATCATTTCCCCAACAGCGAGGAATCATTTCCGAATAAATTAAAGGCTTAGTTGACCTAAGGTAACTACTAGGTCCATTGAAGCCCTTTGTATGGCAGGGGGCCCCTTCGTAAGTAAATCCTTAAAAAAAACTACTTCGCTTACCTTTACTCTAAACGTTTTGTAGCAACAAATGATTTTTTCACAAAAAAGTTGTTTGTTAAGGGAATCATTACAAAAAGTAATACTGCAATACCTTGATAGCGTTTGGTGCATGTGGATAGAAACCGCCGCTTGGTGCTCTTCGTTCTTTTCGAAATGCTGGTTTCGGTCGATGACTTCCATCAGGTGACGGCTGAAAATGATTAGTATTGAATCTTATGAATCATTTTCTTTCTTCAATTAACAAATAACTCCACAAACCTGTATAACATATCTAATTTGTCGCTTCGCTGCCTCGTCAAGCGGTCCAGTTCCGGATCCTCTTATAGGTGATGACGGAGGACTGTTCATTGGTGTGAAGTTTTTCTCTTCTCTTTTGTAACCTGGATCGTTAACAACTGGAATCCATCGATGCTCGGCGTTATCAGCAGAAGGAGAAGTAACTGAAAATTGAAGAAGTGCGACTTTTAAAAAGTTGTTTCATCTGGAAATGGAAGGAAAATAACGGATATTTCATTTCTTCTAGGCAATTTTACCTTGATTGTAATCGTTTTGTGCAAACTCCAGGTCAACAGATACAGCTCTGGGAAATGAAGGCCATACGTAAGGTTTATCTGGAGGCGGTTGCCATCGACGGCCGGTCCTCATGATTTCTGGTTCTTTTTCAGGCTTTTCGACAAAAGCGGCTCTACGCTAAAGGATAAACTATCCTAGCTGACAAGATAACGAACTGAATTATTACAATATAGTGTAAAAGAGTTAACCTTCAAGATGTCAACATGGTACTGATCCTTTTCCAATAGTTGACCGCTCGTTAGAATTTCGTTCTTCGCTACCTAAAATACCAGAAATGCGCTAAATTAATTCAATACTAGATACACTAATGGCCCGATACAGCCCAGTGGTTGGAGGTGTTACTGCAATACACGATTTCGGCTCGATCCTCGCCTTGGAGAGCCAAGCCAACGATCTCTACGAGATTGATGAATTGCCGCAAGATCTATCTGGGAGAATAATTACTTGATACTTGAACGGCCCGTCCTCACTGGTTGTGCGGGTCCTAGCATTATCTCCATTTTTCGGAGATTTCTGGCTAAGCCATTGTGGTTCCCTGGAGTCCAGAGCTCAGCCCTGCCAAAGTCTGCCACAGGTCGTCACCACGACAGGCAGTCGCAGCCCTTGTGGATCAGAGGGAGATTTGCCACCATGCGACTTTGATACCAGGACGGTGGTGGATCCTGGTATTGATTTATGCTTAGCTATGCTTCCTGATGGAAACGCCGTACCTTCTCAGCTTGGGAGATCCTGCCAGGGGTAGGTATGAATCCCTCCGCTGTACATCGCAGCCCGACAGCCGGGAACACCACCCAGCCACGATGAGGCGGTAAGCCGTTGGAAGGTATCTGAGTGAATACATCCAGGAAGTCTTATAAGTCGTTTTTTTCCCATTTCATGGTTATTTTCCACAGTAACTTTTAAAAATTTTCATTTTCAGTTGTAGAATTTGAAAATTCCCAAAGAAATGGAACTAATGGGTTCTGTTTGATGATATTTACAGCATAAGAAAAAGTTTCTTCGTAACTGCTTGAAATTCCTTGCGAATTTGTCTTTTGTTTTGGAAAAAGGACAATTGAGAAGACGTTTTCGTTGCATCTAACACTCACCTCTCGCGGCTTTTCAACAGTATAGGTTCGCTTCCAGGTGCTTCGAGGTGGTGCGGAATCACGATTCGATCGTTCATCGGACACCACCGATATCGGTGCCGTTTCATAGACCCGCATTCGAGAGAATTCTTTGCTGAAATCCTAAAAAAGAAACATACTGACTCTAGCAATCTGCAATACTCATTATTTTATCATCATTTGCTAATGAAAGTAACTAAGAAAGGCAAAAAACTGTGAACCTGATAAAAACGTATGCGCCTCATTTCTCCTTATATTGAGAGATAACATTCCATGCCTTTAGATAGACTTCTTAGGAATTTCGGAAAGTTTTTACTTCATTTATTTCTTTTCTTGGGTGTCCTATCATTGATTCAGAAACTGGTTCAATAAGGAAAAACATTGAAAAACATCGTCGTCAATCTATTAAATCGGAAAAGTAGAGTTCTGATAGCGATCCTTCCCTTATTATAGTGTTTTCATAGCCAAATCAGCCAGTCGGACAGAAGACTCTTACAGTCATCCATTCCTTCATATGGTCTTTTCCTTGTTATTTTAGCTTTCGTTCAAATTCTGACAGTAATCCGTTCGTTCAATCAGATTTTCCCGGTCAACTAGTCAGTCAGATTTTTACCTGTTGATAGGAGTCGTTCGACGATGAACCTTCGTCGAGTGCTGATGATCGACGACCGTCCTCCAACGGTTGATGTTCAAACGACGTCGTGAGATCGTTGTCGATGAATAGAACCGGTGAATCGACAGCATTCTGCTGTTCGTAAAGACGTTGCTGCTGTATTTCCATCGCTCGCATCTAAAATATAAAGCCTAGTCGAATAAAATATATATCTCAGAGGAAAACAGAATTTAATCTTTGATTCGATGAACCATAACTAGAGCACTTTGTGATTAGGATTGAAGACGTACCAACAACAATATTTAACACAATACTGATAAGATGTCATAAGGATGTTGAGATATTTGCAAAACTCCAGACCGCAGGTGCCTGCGGTGGGGATCAAACACGCTATTACCCTTTCCATTTGCTAACGCGTTCACCATCACGCCGTGCGGGTCAATTCTTTCGCCTTTCTCTCAACTAGTTTTCTATCTACCAGTGCCATCAGCAATCACCCGTCAACGGGATTGACCTGGTGACCACAAATGGGCACTGAACCTAGTTAATTAAGTTGAGGCTGTATCCATCTGGAACGGAAAGGGTAATATCGGATTCGATCCCCACCGTAGACACCTGCGGTCCGGAATTTTGCAAATATCTCAGCATCATTGTAGTTGTATTTCACATAAAACCGTCGTAAAAAACTGTAATAGGCAGCAAATAAAAATTAACACTGAGGAAATGCTCCTTCTGAAAAATTGCTAACGAGATTACGGTAATCAATAGCATCACCTAATCAAAACATATTTCTCTCCTACTGGACAAAATCCAGTTTACTCAACCAACTGCTCTCTTTGAGAACACGACCCCCCAGCAAAAATTGTGTAAAAACCGAGCAGTGTCAACTAAAGAGTCAGAAACGTTTCTCTGAAGGAAGAATAAAACGTTTCTTTTTAGCAAAGGTCTGCAGATTTTGAACGATTTTATTAATAAAATTTGAGGTGGGTGATTAGAGGCGCCGTCCTGTAACGGGCTCATGGCCAATGCTTGAATCTCACCTGTCTGCTTTAGAAGAGAACACTAACTTACTAACCAGTACCGAGGTTAAAATAAATTTGCTACAAGAAATCTCTACTTCATTACGAACCTGCTTTGTCATCGACGCCAATTTTTCTTCTTCATGTCGTCGTATTGCTTCTTCTTCCATATTCTTCTGTCGACGATATTCATCAATTCGATCCGGATCTGCGTATGTGGGATTTTCTTTTCATATTTAGCACATTTTTACAGCGGTCTAAGATTCCTTGGAACCTATAGGCCAATCGCGAATTTGCTTTCATCTCGTGCAGTTTTAGAAAGAAAAAAAGTAGCAGTAACAGACGTTGCACGATAAAGCCACAGCAAGCCATTATGAATATGACAATCGAAACTACCGAAACTGCTTACCAGTCATGGTTTTAGGAATGACGGATTGTGAACGGGATGTTTCATCAGACGGTGGTGGCCAGATCACAACCAATGAGTCCTGTAATACCGTGAACCAGACCGAAGTGTTTTCATTTAGGCTTGTTTTGGTTACTTTCGTTTTTTCTTTTTGAAGGGTTCAATGGTCGGATCGTCCGACTAGCAAGCAGTCACTAGCCATCCTACATAAAAAAGGAAACACTCAGCCAGACACGCACGATGTTGCGAAGACTGGTTAATGATCCAGACATCCCTATCGATGAGCACAAAAATACTCATCGGAGAATAAATTGAGTGCCCAGTTCGATTTTAAACCGCTTCTTGTTAGAAACATTGTAAAGACACAATTATGCTGAGATATTTGCAAACTCCGGACTGCAGGTGTCTGCTGTCTGGTGATCCCCACCATTCACATCATACACTGCCATGGGAAAAGAATAGGCCATTAATACAAAGTGATCACACTACGAAAACAGTTGTTTCAAACGTTTCTTAGAAATTTCATCTAAATTTGAATTGAAATCAATTAAATCAATTCAAAAATTTTTTTTGAAATGTCAACGAAATGTGACTAGATGCTATCCTGTGATCTTTTAAGCATTCACATTGTGGTGGCTCGAAAACTTGCAAACACTCTTGGATTGCAACTCCTAATTCTCAGGTGATACTAAATCTCGGACTGAATTCTCACTCAACGTATCCTTTACAGCCTTTACGGATGTTACCATGATTACTGTATTGCCATTTTGACAATTTTTCTCATCAGAGCAACATTAGCAGCAGTTTATTTTCGGTATTCTTCATCGTATCGCTAATATTTTCTTCATCAGAATTGTTAAATCTGTTTTTATCATTCAATAGGAAAGAGCCGGCAGGTCTAAAATAATTCAGATATGAAGTGTAGAAAGATCATCTCACTTTGATATGCGAAAGTTCCGCTTCTGAAGCGGAAATCGTTCTAGTTTCAGCCAATGTTGTCGGATTGGCGAATTGCTCTTCTGAATAATCTTTGTCACCGCTGGGACCTCCATAGGACAGTGTGCCATCACTAGATCTGAAATAATTGCCTGGTTTTTGAATACTGTCATTCATTTAACCTTAGCATTAATGATCAATATACTTTGTATTCATAAGCTTACATGTGGTTGTGAAGACAGAACTATTTATTGTGGCTAAAATTTCCTCTATTTCACTTTCCCAGAGCAACAGTGATCGAAGAAACGGTGCTGTGGTCATTCGATCCGAATCATTGTAGTACTAGAGCATCATTAATTCTACTTCTACCAATAGTTCTCGAAGTGACGCTACATAGTACGATACAATAGGATTTGCGGCAGAAGACGACGTTTTTGGAATTTCTCTATTTCGCAGTGGATTTTGTTACGTAGTAGTACCTGGAGATATTGGTCTCCTCAAGCTTGAAGAATGGCCCGTTGAAGCATGTGGTGGGCGGTTTCGTGGTGACCGGTGCTCGACTTCGTCGATGTTTTTCCAGATTTTCTTTCATAATTCGAAGTCTCGCCTGCTCAGGAAGCTCGTGGAATTTTATGCTCTTCGATCTTTGAGACTGGTAAGTTTCTTCGGATTCCTAAACATATCAGTTTTCCTTCAATCTCCGTCGTAAAATTTTTTACCTCCATTTTGAAACTAATAATTGCTGCTTACAAGAAAGAAAAACTCGGACAAGGTCTCCTTCTTTTGTGTCCCTTTAATAGAATCGTTTCATCTTAGTGAAAATCTATTGGTATTTAATGAACACAATCTCAAAACGCTAAGAGTTAAGATTATTTTCATTAGATACTAATACTCTAGGCCAGTTTGCCGATTTCAAAAGGATGAAAGGTTTGGTGAGTATGGAGCGTGTTATCGAACCCATGCGAATTGCAGGGCACCTTTAACCAATGCGCTACACGCGCACATTGTGGTTGTATTTCACATAATACGCTGCCATGAAAAAAACAGTAGGCAGTAAATAGAAAGTTTTCATTGTAAATCGATGAGCTTCTTTGTTCACCGTAAGAAGCTAATTCAATTGGGGACTAAGATATCAAAGTAAAATTTTTTGTGCCACCAGATCTTAAGGAAAATCGATAATCGTACCTGTGATGCGGACGTCATCGGTGAGTCGCTATGTTGTTCATTTTGATCGAACTTCATTGATCTGGAATTATTCCCTTGAAAACTACCCAGATTGATTTTCTACAGATCACCTCATTACGACAACAGATGTGGCGTGGAATTAGGCGCGAAGTTTCATGCGGCGTTATAAGTTTGACGTTGAATTTCTTTTACTTTCACCTGGTTAGGTTTCATATTTCTCTAGCGTTGAAAAATACCATATCAAGCTTATTACTGATTAATGAGAAAACTGATTACCAGTACAAACTAATCACACGATTCTTCACAGTATTAATCAACAGATCGACGATTTTTTATAGTTGGACGAGATGGATGACCAGGTCTTGCAATTCGTTTGGACCTTGCTCTTTTTTCTGATTGGGCTGGCGTCTTTTTTCTAACTCACATCCCCAGATTGGGTGCTACTGCGCTATCTGGTCGTCATCTACTATAAATCCATTGCCGACGTTTGCAGATCAGTGAGAGGTCTGACGCCATTTTATGACGTGAAGTTTCTAACGATACCATCGGTGGCGATCCGTTTTGCAGACGAAATGAGATCAAAGTTTCTTATCTTGCTTCAATAATCTGGTAGCAACTTGAAGTCTAGAAGGAATGGAGGGCTCAGTTTACCCGGGTGTGAGATCGAACCAAGTACGACGTAGGTATTTACAGACGCCTTTAATCATCACGCTACACCAGCTCCATTAATAAATCTGTTATGCAGCATATTTCAGAAATTTAGGTAAGAATGAGAATGTTGTCGATCGTAGTTCCGCACTAGAGTTAGAGATGGAAACAGCGGAAAATTAGCCAGTATTCCAACTGAAATGAATTACAAACAAAGAATGAAAGTTCAGCGTATTTCAGGCTATGCATTAATAATGAATATTAAACCGGTATTGAAAAACGGTCCAATGAAGATGTATTTTGATAAAGTTCTCTAAATAAAGTACGATAAGAACTTTAAACTCGTCCGGTAAGGAAACCATTTCGATCGATAACCAATCCCCTATTGTTTATATTTGATGAGTTTTAGAGATATTGTATCGAACTATGAAATATCTTTTTGAATGTTGAATTTTCGAATGTCCTGGTCCCACATAAATACAAGAAATTGTTTAACTGGCTGACTAAAAATAGCTCAGAACTCGATTTTGTACTTACGGTAACATTGGTAAGTAAAGTAACTGAACTGATAGGAACTATGAAAGACGATTACAAAACTACTGGAAACATTTCACTAACCTATAGCAACCTTGCTTGATGATCGGCTTCGGCTCTCGTGTTGGAGACGGGCTCATCAGTCGTTCCGGATGTGTTTCTCCACCGGGAACACGCGAGGCGTCCTAAGCAGCGGAACATTATAAGCGTAGGCATCCTCGTTTCTCGAAAATCTTGAGAGTTATAAACGAGTTATACTGATAGTATTGAGTGCATTGATTCAGTTAGGTACGCTTAGTTCTGCTAACTATTGAGTGTTTAGATACGTACGTATGAATTTGTAGCACCACTTAACGGTTCGTTCGTCGACGGTGTAGACACATTCACTGCGATGAGTGAAAGAGGTATCTATAATGAATATAAAGAAACATTAAAACTTTTCTAGCACACAGTTTCTCAATTTTCAATAAAAATCGAAAAACTGCAGAAAAGTGAACGAGATTTTCATCCACATTTCCACAAGGGATAGACCTATGCCACGGTCTAATCTCGTGAGAGTCCTTTGGTTATCGGCTCTCCAAAAGCATTAAAAATAAAAAGCGCTATGCCAAGAATGTGATGCTATTCGTGTCCATTGAGCCAGTAAAAACCAACTGAACGCTCTCGTGCATGATAAAAAGGCATTTAGTTCACCTGTGTCTACTCGAGCTCATTAACGGATTTATAGAAAACACAGGAGAGCATTTCTATAATCTCGGTATCGATCAAAATTATCCTGGTTTCTAGCTGTTCTGATGCAAGAAGCTATAAAGTAGTAAAGTAAGTAACATAATCGAACCGTAGATTTTTCGCCACGCTTTTCCGATGGTGTGTTCAGATGATTTAGTGGCTGTAAAGATGGCCTATGAGCTGGTGAAGGAGGTTCGAAGTGATATGAGCGGATTCGCTCAGTGCCGTTGTTGCGAATCCTCGACGATGTAACGCATTGTGATCCAGTGGGGCGACGTTCCTACAAAGGCAGTACGTTTTCTAAATGATTTTATACGTTTCTTTTCTTCAGATCTTTTCCCTCTTCATGGATAATATTCGTCAAAATGTCGCAGAATGCTCGAAAAGCCTAACATTTTGCTACTTTAAGAAACAAAAATCATCGCAGATCTTCTATGAGCTTAACGATCTACGATAAATGATATCTCCTGTAGCCCATTCTTCGTCCTCTAATAATAAATGCAATAAATATAATTTGGTAGAAAAACTGTAGTTCCAGTGCATTTTTGTTCGCCTGAAGAGGACTACGGTAGTGGGAAGAGTATAATGGTCTGAAGCAGAAATTGAGTGTAAAATCAGCACCAAGCGATCGGCATAAAGGAAGAAATCTGGCAAATCGATTGATTAAAGCACCGATTTTATTGATTAGCTCCCATAGATCATTTTATAAGCTTGGATTCCTATGATGGTGCTATGAGACGACGATTCAGAGAACATGGAATGTAGAACGAAACAACTTTTGATGGACCTCATCGGATTCAGGAATGTGTGGCAATGACGGTGCACCAGAAGCAGCCAGCCGAGTGAATCTTCTTGGTGACTGGGCTTCACCTGAACCTCGTACCCGTTCCAAATATGCCTGTCTAAGTCGCGCGACAGAATACAACGGCTGAGTATCATTGTCGTCGTTGTTACTCATCAAAACGATGATTAGGAGGCCGAACGACCATCGAAAATCTTGAAAACAGAAGAAAAAAGACTAGCGGTTAATTAGGAACGTATAACCGATGAAACAAACATTGGGGTACATCGATTGAACGTGGCCGACAAGCGTAATACAAACAAAAAGGCAAGTCGATTGACGTTAACTGAAGAAGCTAGAATTGGTTGGAGAACAACAAGATGTAGAAATACAAACCAGCTAAAGTCTCACCAAAAAATCAGTGCAATTCTTACAGGCGAAATGTAAACAGAAAAACACAAGAATAGATTGAAATTAAAATAACTTAAGCAGATCCATTAACGATGAAGTAAGGAATAGGAGAAGGCATTAGAATCGAGGAATCCAGAAATGGGCAAAAAATTTGTCGCAAAAAAGACTGAATGGATGAAGCAACTTGAATCTGCGAGGTTAGAACTTAAGGAAATGTAAGGAAGGTTGGACGACCAAGAAGTAGAATGAGATATAGCACATTCGTAAGTGTGATATGGAGTACAGCTAGCTCCCTAAGGCAAATTAACAATTTCTCATTATCAGAGAGTGCCTCGTTGAGAAAGCTTCCAGCACGGCAGGATCGGTTGGTGGAGGTCTGATAGAGAAAGTGGGCGAAAACGAAAACAAACAATTGAAGAGAGCACGCGGAGCGCAAGCGGATTATTAGAGAGCTTGAGCGACAGTTCGTGAGCGCAGTGCTTTAGCTCGAGAATACACGGCAACAATTCAACAACACCTGCATTCCTGTCTGAGAGATGATGCAATGGACATGATAGGTCAACTAGATCATTCAGAAATGACACCCTTCACGAATTATTGTCGTTAAAAGGGAAAAAGGATAAAGTTCTCGGCTCGAACAGGGTGAATACCTGTCCTTCCTATATGACTCGTGGTGGCCTACCAATGTATCGTGTCAGTGTTGCCATCCTCCCAGACAGGTCTGGCACCAATTTTTCGACCCAAGAGGGACAGAAGGCTTGGTGAGCTCAGGGCTCGGGAACGAACCCATGTGTACTCCGGGACACTTGTAACCAATGCACTACACGCGTTTTTT